CAAATATCTTGAAAATTCTTTTAAAGAACAACGTCCAAGAAAAAAGCCCTCAAAATTAAGAAAAAATTGACAGCTGGTAACCGTGTAAGAAAAAAAGGAGTGGAATGACATTTTGTCAGTATTACCAGCAAATTGAAACAAATATAACGAATACAACTGACCTCTATATTCAAGATGGACAGGAGCTAGGTAAGGAAAATAATCTCTATATTCCATAGAATAAGTGCTATTCAAATGAATTAAGTGTATTATCTATACCAGTGATTCTCAACCACTGTGCCGCGGCACTTTTGTGTGCCGCCAAATTTCAAAAGTGTGCCGCCAAATTTTGCAAATATATAATAATGTTAATATTATTAAATTATATCATTTAAAAAGAAAAATATTTTTAACATGAATATATATTGAAATACACAAAAAAATAAATTATTTTATTATTTGCTTTGCAACGCGGTTTTTCTTAGTTATGATGAAGCGGCGTGCATAGCAATAGGAATATATCTCAAGTCGGCGCACACTTGCCACTTCTGCGTACAAAACGTTTGTTTTAGTGATAGTTGGGATTCACAAGGTGTTGCATAGTAGTTACTCCACCTTTTCTTTCGTTAAAATTGGCAAATGTATGTGATTCGGTAGTAAGTAAATAATTTTTATCTTTTTCTTTGTGTGCTGCCAAATTTTGAAATCGTTAAATATGTGCCGCAACAAAAAAAAGGTTCAGAATCACTGATCTATACCATGGAATTACGGAGCAGAGAATAGATTTAAGAAAGTTCGCTCTACGGTCCTTGAGTGTTAAAACAATTAAATAAATAATGCTTTTTTTTATTTCACTTGTAACCAATTGGGATGAAATACGATTGAAGGATACAAGATGAGATGAGATGAAATGAAATAATATCTCACTAAAACGGTGGTAGGGCATCTTGTGAGCCCGCATGAGTAAGTACCACCACCCTATTTCTGTATGAAACAATAATGCGTTTCCACCCTGAAACACCAATGCGATATCCACCTCCAGCTACTTTGATCTCCCACATTGATAAATTTTAGAGATATTAAACGATTAATAAACTACCCTAACTTCTTATTTAAACCAGAGGAAACTATAAGTAAAACATCACATAACTTCAAACGTCCCATTTCCGCCTCATAAGTTAAAAAGAAATTACATACGAATACTACCTACCTAATTTGTGATTCGTCGAAAGCCGTCCTAATATATCACTTGATTTTTAGACAGTATAGTACTTTTGCCAGTATGCATGGAGCATAGAACTACATTTTATTTATATACGTACAGATACATTTTATTTAAGTATTATTTTATCTTAAAAAATATCTACCGAAGGTGATGGCGTCTCATTGTATATTTCCCTTAGCATCAGTCTGTGGGGTTTCTAGCCTGACCTTTTAAGTGGTTTGCGATTCCGATCCGGTGGTGGATGCATTCGCAAAACTGCACTCGAGTTGTTAGGCTTCTTTTGCAGATGTCAAGCAGTTGTTAGGAAACTCTCCCCTCCTGGTCCTTCAGTTCGGCCATCCGTCGTAGCTAAGCGGCAAGTTCTATATACCAGCCTTCTAATCCAAAAAAGCTTTTAAATCTTTTTAACCACTTTAAAAAATGAGATAGTTCTAGATTCTCATTTTTAAATATGGTTTATCTGAGAACTCCATAGTCGATAATAATACTGATATAGTCTACCTACTTGTATTATAATTTTGAGATAAGTAGTTGATGGCATCAACACCAACGAAAATATTAAGTAGTCTTGATCGGGAGTCAAACTTTCTAGTCACTCACTAAAGCAACTCTTAATCCAGTCTCCGGTTTTGCTTGTATCGCCAATTTAAAAGTCCCTTTTAAGTACTACTTTACGCTAGAAAAGGGCAGGTAGGAAACAATCACAGATTGGAGTCTAGACGGGAAAACCGTAAATCTAAAGCAAGTGAGAGCCAGAGTGCCAGAGGTGAGTGGCATCATTTAAAATAAGATTTTCATGGGCTGCGGTAACTACAAAGCAGCGTTAATAGGGGCATTGATCTCTTCTACTTTTTTGTTCAGGTACAGGAGATTGTATATGTCGGTGTTGAACCGACTTAATCCCTCTGTCGCTTAACAAACCGCATCCAAGCCTCAGGAGCGAGGCAGAACTCATCCAATACAGTGGAGACAAAGTAATACGTTTCGCGTGGAACGCATTGCTCCGCGTTACCCTGTCGCCACAAAGACGTTGAACCGGCAGTTCCCGGCCGCTCGATCAGTGACATCTACCCTAGTAAAAATAAGACTATATTTATTGCTTAAACGGGTGAACGAACTTACTGCAAGCCTGGTGTTAAGTGATAACCAGAACCCATAGATATTAACAACATAAATACCGCCACCCACCTTGATAGATAAGTTCTAAGTTTCGATTTTTACAACGGCGGCCCCACCCTTCAAACCGAAACGTATTCCTGCTTCATACGAAAGCAGGGTGATGATGGTAAAAATACTTGATGGTAGTAAAAAAAAGGCCCTACCATCGGTATACCTACGTATTGCAACCAGAAACCAGAAAAATTGATGGCCGTCTGCGGGATTTAAAAACCGGCATAGTCGCATCACTTGATAAAAGTACACTAGGCGCCTGATTCTTTAGACCCCAACGACTTTACAAACACAAATTGACTTCATATTTTTTACCATTACCTAGGATTATAACAAAAATCATTTAGGTACAGTTTAAAAAATGTTTATTAAAATGTACTAAATTGGATAGGTACATAATGTTTTTTTTACTTGTCTTTTAAAGGATAACACAACATTTTTTATGGGGGCGCCATCTAGATTCTGAAGATCGTTGTTTGTAAGCTTTTCGAATACGTTTTCTATGTGTTTTCCGCGAACGTTTGTTACTAAGTCGCGAGTCTTTGGACTGAATTCTGGCGCAGTCGCAAGGAGACCCCACGCGACTAACTGTGTCCATGGCGCTGGGACATTTGCTCTTGCGTTTGATACATTTTTTATAGCACTTGTCTGGTTCTGGACAGGGCGGGGGGCGGGGCCTGTGGCGATGCACACTGCATGTTGGCGCAGATATACATGGTTTTAAGCTGTTTGTAGAGTGTACAGCTGAAAAAGATTGACAGTAACACATTTAATAATCACACAATTTTCGTAGTGAAAACCCCTATTTTCCTCCATGTACAGACTAAATAATAGGACAGCAATTCCCTATTTTTTAAAAGAATAGGTACTAAACATATATATTCTATTTATATACATATTTTTGTTTAACAGAAAAGACAGACACGATTGGAAAATTTGGCATTTTTATAGTTGATAATAATTACTGTAAAACTGCTCATTACCTAATTAATACTATGGATAAAACATTTTAACAATTAAAAATTACTGCGTTTTCGACTATAGGTATAATATTTATTGCTCTGCTGAGTTGTTCTTCAAATTCTGTCTATTTTAACAGATAAAAGAAAAATGTTCGTTCTCTTTCGGCTAAGTTGCTAATTCACAGTATTCGCATATCAGTGCCCGAAAAGTTCAATACAATTTTATAATATTTCACACTTTTTTTTCTTTAGTCTGCCTCGATGTCCTTTTCCAAGACAGCATTCACTTTTCGACAAGGTACTCCCTTGTCGTCTAGTATAATTAAGATAAGAATGGCTGCCAGTCAGTCTATCTTTTTTTCGCATCTTTGCCTCTTTAGATTTCTTTTTCAAAAACTTTTCAACGGCCGCCACGCTCCTCGGATTCGATGCGCTTTTCGATTTCCCGCAACTAGAACATTTGGCTTTTGACCTTGTTGACATTATGGATACAGCACTCCGACAAGGTCGAACTCCTTTCGAAGTTGTTTTCTTTAAGCATTTTTCTGGATTTTGGCATGGAGGCGGTGTAGGGTGACACCGTATGGGAGTACATGATGCAGACGGCGTACATGGTGGATGCGCAATTGGCGACATTATTGCAGCGTTTAATCTGCAACAATGCTGCATTTTTACACTTCAAATAACTTACGAAAACAAAAACAGAAGTTAACTTCACAATGAATTCAGTGATTTGCCACTCGATAAAGCCCACCGAAACGACAACGCAATCGTATATTTCGCCAATAAAATTAACAGCTGTAAATTAAGCGTAATATTATACTATTTAAAATATCAAATGATACTTACAATACTTGTTCATGTTATGTTAGCGTATCGCAAAGGCCCCAGGTATTCCGCTGACTTCAGAATTTTGCACTAGAGAAATAAGTTACTTTTAAATTGAGCAAACATTTTTTATGGATGGGCGTTCGAGCTCACACGATTTATCTGATGCTAACTGGTTTCCAAAATTTTATGAGAATAAGATTTTAAGACAATTTAACTAGGTACGTACTGAGATAATCTTGCGAGTGGCAAATAAAGCTAAGCTTTTATAGACATCAGTACCGGTCTTTCTAACTCGTAAAATAAATATATGTAGTAACTTACCCATAGGTATAAATTTTAAGGTAAATCGTAAATTGTTACTATAGTTTCCTTTCCACGGTCATTTTTTTTTTCAAAATATTTTTTCTGATATTTTTTATGTGACACTTAAAATTTACATTTCTGATCTTCTATTTTCAACAATGACGTTTATTCTGTCTTCTTTCAGTTTTTTCATGGATCTTGGTTTACGTCACAAATTAAAATCAATAAAAAGTTTTAAGCTTTTATAAATATACGATTTAATGCTTTTTTTTTCATACCTATTTTAGTAACCTCGAGGGGTTATGCGAGATTCACCGAACTAGTAGGTGAGCTGGCAAGAGCCGTGCTTCGCAGATTCTACCACCGAATCGGAAATGCGACCCGGAAGAAGATCCGGCGAGAAACTCAGTAGTCTGTAGGTTAATTTGCTCGCCGAGCCCTTCGTCGCAAGCGACGGGTTCGACGAGAACGATGACCGGTGCTTGGGACCTAAACGCACCGTTAGGGGATCGGGAGGATCCGAAATGACGTGAGATTTATTGCATCGCAAACGCGGCGTCGAGAAAATACAGCGTTGCTTTTATTATAAACGTTTTTATTCTAATTTCATTATTCGTATCTATGAGAATAGCTTTATTGTCCTATACGGCCAATAGAAGATCTGAAGACCCGCTACTCTGCTGTCTGATCTGGCGGTTTCTCCACGAATGTGAAGGAAGTTTTTATCCAGATTAGGTCAATCTCAACTACCTCCAATACCACGTCATAAGTAGGATTAGGATTAGCGTAGTCGTATGGAATGGGATCATTTGCTTACGTTTGCCGTTAGGGGCGCTGTTTCAACGGCATACAAAATTGGGTTACCTTTTACGCTATCGAGAACGTTAAAAAACTCGCACTAAACACACTGATGTTTTTATTAGACTTTCTCGCTGACATGAAATACGCTATGGTGTTTCTAAAGCGCTATAGTGTTTCCATGATTTCTTCTCAGTGGTTTGAAAAGATTCTGCATTACATTTTTTAACACTTGCCTACGGATAGAGTAGATTTTATCTGTCTGCAACAAGGTCAGAAACTGACAGCTACCTGACTACTCAGTACAATTAGGTTTTAACCAACACAAAAAAAAAAAACTATAAATAAAGAAAAGCTAAGCTTTTATTCTCATAAATAGTTAAATAACAAGTGCAAATTTCATTCAATTCAAGTGTTGCACATCTTTCTTAATTTTTAACACTGTTGTAAATAATTGCGTTGAATAATCTAATTATAAACTATATTAAATACATTTTGTTGCCATTGTCAACACATTAATATATTATGTAACACATTATCCTCTAATCGCGTTTGATAATACTAGATGCCAGTTTTTGTCCAAAACATGCAAACGTATTTTAAATTAATATTTCAAGTAGGAATGCATTGATTACATTAATTATTATTTTTTACATTTCTTTACCACAATTGCTTTATTCATAAAAATGGTATAATGTCATCTTGCAAAGAATAATTAATTTTTATAATTTTATAAATCCAAATATTCTCTGGGTTGTAAACCAGTTGTAGTGGTTAGATTTAATTTACCACTTGTAACACCCAAAGGAGACGTAAAAGCTTNCAAGTAGGAATGCATTGATTACATTAATTATTATTTTTTACATTTCTTTACCACAATTGCTTTATTCATAAAAATGGTATAATGTCATCTTGCAAAGAATAATTAATTTTTATAATTTTATAAATCCAAATATTCTCTGGGTTGTAAACCAGTTGTAGTGGTTAGATTTAATTTACCACTTGTAACACCCAAAGGAGACGTAAAAGCTTTTATGAACTTTTACATTTTATTGTCTAATACTCTTTGGGTTATCCGACAGCCATGGTTTCATGTGATAATGCGGACAGTGCATTAATTCTGCTTTTTCGACGTAGATTCTTGATAGGTCGGTGGCTGATCCTGTAAGTTCATAGGACAAATTAATTAATACGCGCTATACGTGTACGATTTACGCACCTACCTACTTGGTTCTATGTGGTTACCGGAACCTATAAGCATCAACAATGTAAATGCCACCACCCACATTAAGACACTAAGTATCGAGTACAAAGGCTGGCCTACCCTTCAAACCAAAAAGCTAAAGGATAAGACGTCCGGTGCATTCGTGTTGAGCGATGCACCGGTGTTCGAATCCCAGGCGGGTACCAATTTTTCTAATGAAATACGTAGGTATTCAACAAAATAAATGTTCACGATTGACTTCCACGGTGAAGGAATAACATCGTGTAATAAAAATCAAACCCACAAAATTATCATTTGCGTAATTACTGGTGGTAGGACGTCTTGTGAGTCTGCACGGGTAAGTACCACCACCCTGCCTATTTCTGCCGTGAAGCAGTAATGCCTTGCGGTTTGAGGGTGGGGCAGCCGTTGTAACTATACTTGAGACCTTAGAACTTATATTTCAAGGTGGGTGGCGCATTTACGTTGTCGATGTTTATGGACTCCAGTAACCACTTAACACCAGATGCGCTGTGAGCACGTCCACCCATCTAAGCAATAAAAATAAAAAAAACTCGTCCGCTCTGCTGGGCATTAAAATTAACATTATTATTTATTATCATTATTATTAGGGAGTCCAACACTCATATAAATATTAGCCTATCCATTAAGTACATGTATTTACTACATGGATACTAAGTTTCAAGTCGGATCGGATGCATGGTTCAGTAGTTATAACGGAACATCCATAAAAACTACTAGATTTATATATTAGTATAGATGTTATTTCTTCCCTGTGGAAAATGTTCATGATAAGTACGTATTTCGTTAGAAAAACCCGTCTGCGTGATTTGAACCCCAGCACAGTCGCATCATATGGATCACATGCAATAGCATGACTATTCACCTATGCACTTATATAGAGTATCGATTCGTATCGTGAATAATACATGAAAACAAAATGTGAATTAACTTTGTATTCCGGATAAATTCCACAACCCAATAACTACCTATTTTGATTGCTACGCTGTTGGAAATTTACGATAGTTAAAAAAATATTCTCTACTTTACAACTTACGTGACTTTGCATGCATCCAATGGTTAGACTGCTGCGCGCGCACCATACAATACTCGCCTTAAATATCTCTTCAAGTAAAATTCAACGCTCCGAGAAAACTATACAGTGTAGTTCATTCCAAAGTCTAAAAGTATGTAGTGTACATGATTGATTGACCTAAATAATAACTTACATTATAAGGTGGTGGCACATATGCTGTTTGTGGCCTGTTTGGATCGTAGTATGCACTCTGAGCTGCTTCAGCTGCTTTAGCATCTGCAAAATTACGATTATTCTACTGCAAAATATACTATTCAAAACAAATTGATTTTATTTACACATGAATTACTTTTAATATGTTGTAAAACATAAGTGATATTACCCAAATTCTTAATTCAAGACTAATAGTATTTATTCCATTTTACTACAATGTATATATGTGCATTACATCTGCATAAAACTAAGTACACCGAGTTTTATTTTTAAAATATGACTTACAATACATGATAGTTATATTTAACTTTTATGTTACTTTCTTAACTCAACAAACTTTTACAGAACTCACCAGCAGAAGACATGCCAGTTGGTGGTGCTGAAGCTGCGAAACCCCCTGGATATCCGGGTGGTGGCGCTGATGCTCCCGGGTAGCCAGGAGGAGCCCCTCCTGGAACCACAAACCCACCACCCCCGGAAAACCCTGGGCCCGTCGGGTAAGATGCTCCAGTCACGCCAGGGTAGGGAGGTGGGGTATTCGACACGAATACTGAGTTTGGTGGAGGTTGGTCTGGAAAAGCCTGGAAAAATAATAAATATGTAATTTCGAATTACAATATGCGAAATAGTGCCAACTCTCTTAATTATTTCTATATATCGTCTTCTCGCATTAAAACTGTATAATCTCAAAACTTACTCATTTTACAGGAGTGTTTTAAAGGTTTAACATGGGGTATTTTTAATATTAATCTATACTAATATTATAAAGAGGAAAGATTTGTTTGTTTGTTTGTTTCGAATAGGCTCCGAAACTACTGGACCGATTTGAAAAATTATTTTTCCATTAGAAGCCGACATTGTCCCTGATGAACATAGGCTACTTTTTTTTTATTTTTTTTTTATTTTTTTTTTTGGTTTCGTCTGTGTTTTAATGTTTCCGAAGCGAAGCGAGGGCGGGTCGCTAGTCGTCTTTTAAAGTACGATAAAATTATGTATTAATTTTGTTAATAGTAGTCAAAACATAGGTAAACAAAAAAAAAAAACTAAAACGAAACTACGCTTTTTGACAGTATTTATGAGAAAAATACTGGTCATATCAAATGATTCCGCAAATTAACTCAATTTCGAATATTTTTGGAAATTATACACTTTTAATGCAAAAAGACGATATCTAATATTGTTCATAAGACATTAAGCTAATATGTATTATATGTTAAGAAATGTACTGAATGACGTACAGAATAAGGTGGCACCCATCCATAATATCCTTGTGGAGGAGGTGCATATGCTGGTGGTGGTGCGGCTTGCCACGGTCCAGTCGGTGGGGTATAAGGAGGTGGCGAAGCACCAGCTGCCATATGACGAGAAGCTAAAAAAAATTATATTTTATTTATTATATATTGCTAAACATAATTTGATATCATATCAAGGATTGCTTTATATAGAAGAAATTGCTCATATGTAGAATCAATAGATAATTAAGTTTTTTTTAATGAATTCTAACAAATCTTATTACTTTTATACACTTCATTGTTTATTTTTTTCTTGCCCATGTAGGCAGACGAGCATACGGCCTACCTGATAGTGAATGGTTACCGTCGCTCATGGACTTCAGCAATGCCAGCGGCAGAGCCAAACCGCTGTCTACTATAAAATTTTATGGTATTGTAGCTATAATACAATATTAAAAATTGAGGTAAGGGGCCTTTCAATAACTTTTAGTGATATAGCATGGAAGGTAAGCTCTTGCTTCAATAACAACAACCCAACATCATTTCAAGGTTGTGATGTAAACATACTCTTCAGTAGTCTTCAATCGAATTCAGTAACTGATATAGACTTTTCGCATTCAATTATGATTAGGTAGGCATTACTTTTACTCACCAAGATGAGCAGCTTTTAACATGGCTTGTCCATACTCAATAGCACCTCCTGATTTGAAGGTAAGCTTGAATTTGACCTCACCAATAAAGTTGCCATTAGGTTGGGCACGAACTTTACCTTTTATACAGTTGGCAGAGAACATAGGTTGTTCCACAGTTACCTATAAAACAATATCAATTCACATCGTCATAATCATCAACATTGCCCGAAATACTGCTGAAGACAGGCTTCTATTAAGTCTCCAGCTGTAGGGAACACAGATTCCACTTATTCACACTATTCCCCCTGGTGCATAATATTGCAACAAGCTTTTATATAATATAAATTTTGTTATTACTATGGACTCATTTGCAGTGAATTTGCAATTTAAAATGGGTTCATAACAATCAAATATTAGCTATTTATCTATATAATTATTTATTAATAGTACTGATTTCTTTTTATTGGCTCAGTTCATGTCAATGAATATATTTAATAACTTTTTATTAAGACAGACAAGAGACAGATTTCTGAAAAACCAAACTGCATTCAGCAGTAGTTTATTTAGTCATCATATCCTATGTTGTTCTTCATCTAACAAATAAATTACTTACATCTTGCAATGCAATAAAAGGAAAACTGAATGATCTCATGGCATCTGTATTCTTCTTTGAATTGTAAATCATTCTATGAGTAGTGAGGTACATCCGTCCCTCCTTGATCCCCTTAAACTCTGGTGTATCATTCCCATAGAATTCAACTGACACATTGTCAGAAAACAAGATGATGCTGCAATAGTAAAGTAAATAAATAAAAAAATATCAATATAATGATAATCATTCTTTATCATCTTCTAGATAAAATTGTCAATATTTCATATGCCACAAAAGATAATATCTAGTGTTATATTAATCTGAAGTATCCATTGAATCAACCCTTTTTTCACCAAGAGGCCAGTCGGCCTTTTTTGTACAAACAAGAAAGTTTATTGAAAAGTATTTTTTGCAAAATAGTTTCAAAAAAGACACATGAGTCGTCTATTATCAAAGGTGGCAATCTGTGCATTTGGACAAAAAAATGTTATTGATATGTCAATACAGATTGATTTGAATATAATCGTCTCCTTCAAAGAATACGGTTCAAAACCTGCATTAAATAAAGGTTAATANTTGATATGTCAATACAGATTGATTTGAATATAATCGTCTCCTTCAAAGAATACGGTTCAAAACCTGCATTAAATAAAGGTTAATACTTAACCTGTTATTTATCTAAGATGTCGTTCAGAAGAGTTTTGTAACTGCCAATGGAATACAAAGTCAATAATTCGTTTTTCTGATTTACCAATAATTGTCCAAAAGTCACATTGCCGCCTTTGATAATAGTCGACTCACATCAAGAAAATTAAACTTTTCTTTGTTTGTTTGTTTTTTTGTCTTTTAGAAGGCACACTCGCTTGTGAAAATGGAAGTAATGACCAATTTAATTTTTTCTTATATTATAGTTATAAAAACTTAACAGTTACTTACTTATATTGCAATTTTGGAGTCTTTTGAGATTATTAAAAAATTTGATTAATGAACACAAACAAAAGAACTTTATGGAAGGGTTGGGACAAAATTAACAGATCATGATCTCATATATTGGGACAGGCACAGTGCATAATTAGTTGACTAATAATTTCTAAGCAAGTATGACATATTATAATGTTCCACATCAACGTTTTTACAAAGGTGGAATCTCTATTAACAAGAATATACTATCTAAATATACGTATTTCATCTAGGCATGATGAATTCTGAATTAAACAGACAAGACATGTTACCTCCGTAACTGGAGCCACGCATAAACAGCTTATATGCTAGTAGTTATTAATTTTTTTCATATTTTTCATTATACCATTATTATTATTTTTATAATAATAATTAATGATGTGGCGGCATAGTCTAATATAACTAAACATTTGTTTATACTTTAATACCTACAAAGTATTTCTTCGATTAAAGAATGGTACAGTTAAGCGTAGAACATTCTGAAAATATGAAAACAAGATGACTCACCATTCCCCTGCGTGTATCAAAACTCCGTGATCGGCGTGAGCGGTATTTAAAGACATAATGCAATTATTGTGCTGATTATATATAACATTTAACCACTAAGGTTCAAAAAACTTAATTTGAATCGAATCCTGTGTCGAGTGTCTTTATTACGTTATTTACGATCGTAATCAATCGTAATCACCAAATTGTATTAAGTGTATAATCTATGTTCAGAGGGACTCTGTTAAACTTTTTTTTAAGAGATTTTATGACCTGGTAACTGAGACCTTTAAGTCATGTTTTATTTTTATTTATATTATTCATATTTTTATGAAAAATGATATTAAGGACTGAAATGAAATGAAGATGATTAATTTGAGACACTAATCAACTGGGAATGAAATGAAATAATAATCAATGAAATTAAATGAAATGAATTGAGATGATATAGGATGAATTAAAATCTCAGTAAAATTATGGTCATTTACTAAGATTTTTTCAGTGGAGTTTTTGGAGGATCCCGAGAAGTTACGTCCAGCGGCTTTGTTTCATTTTCCCACATTTGTGTACTTTCACAGATACTAAACAGTTAATAAACCACCGTTATTACCTACGAATAAATAATAAGTCAGGAAGTCTAACTCGGAACAAATTTCAAAAAAAAAATGGCCCCACTTGAAACCAAAACGGCTTAAGAAACAAAAACCAATCACAAACGAGGTTGGAAATAGACATTGGTTTGAATTCAAAACGAAAACAGGGATTGGTTAATGTCTGCTATGACAGCAGCATGACAGCGTAGACGATGTTATGTATTAATTGGACCGGACAAAGTTATTAATAAAACAATTTAATTATGTAACATTTGTTTTTTTTTTTGTAAAAAGCTCTATGTCCCTCGTAATATAATTAATTTAGTAAGTTTTTGCCTAGAAGAAATTAAAAAAGAATCTTTTTTCCCAATGTAGGGAAGACGAATTCTGAGAAATTCAACCATTACACATTTTATAAAAAAAAAGAAATGGTCATTATTTGTCTGGTGACTGTTTTTTAGTAAGCGTAGAATATCTTCATTGTCAATTATTTTAGAAAAACACTGTGTAGATATTACTGACAGATTTTTCGTTATCATGTATTTTAATTATCTGTCTTATTTGTGTTTCTGTGCGCGTGCATATTTTATACAACACCACAGATGGGTACGAGAGTACACCGAAATCTTTCAAATTAACCAGATTGTGGAAATACAAATTTTCATTAGCAGGTAGCAATGATAAGCATTCTGGACAGTTGATTTTCGCTTGCAGTTTTCGGCTTAGAAAGCCGGCTATATAGCCTACAATTTGCTCCACTGTTTCTGGCAATTGAATGCTAGCGTCCAGCATGTTTGATAAAGTGAATAGAGCATACTCTGCTGGTTTTCACAGGCATCCAGTCATATTCTTGTCTTTCCAAGTTAACTGCAGCTATCCACTTTCTTGCCGAATTGCATCGGCAGGAAAACTAAAAGAAAACAAATTATGCAAAATCCATTATCGTTATAAAATTATCAAAATAAATATATCTATTTGATAATAAAAAGTCAAGTCAGTCAGTGGAAGTCAATCGTCAACATTTGTTGAGTACAAATATTTCATTAGAAAAATTGGTACCCGCCTGAGATTTGAACACCGGTGTATCGCTCAACACGTATGCACCGGACGTCTTGTCTTTTAGGCCACGACGACTAATCATTTCACTCCATAATATTATTATCATTTTTCATAAAAATATCCCATATCATCTCATTTCATTTCATTTCATGCCATGTTTCATATTAATCACCTTTATTTCATTTTATTATATCACATTTCATAAAAAAATATATATAAAAGATTAGGCTGTATGGTATGATACCTTTGCCTTTCCATTTGGACAAAGAAAATTACTACTGCTTGAATCAAAAATAAACAAAACTTAGAAAACTGAAAATTAATTCAAGACCTTTACATACTTTATACTTAAACATAACTCATACATATCTCAATGTAGTCTTTGATTCTGCTTTTTGCTGGCTTATATCGTTGTATACTTTTAAGTACATAGTTAAATTAATAGAAATAATAGACACTCCATAGTTACGAAGACCAAATTCCTCTCATGTAAATAGTCGTAGTCGTATATAAGCAATTTCCTAAAACATTTGTAAGATGGACAATTTAGGTACACCTTCAAGTGATATAAAACCCATAAATGAAAATACTGTTCATAAAATTTGTTCGGGACAGGTAAGAATAAACTTTTAACAACTGAAATTTGTACCACTTTGTTTTTCCTTACTCTATTAACTGGGGTCGCCAGAACATTTATTTTACCACGCCTTCCTCGTGTTTTGATCGATCGGACATGATATACAATCAATACATATAAAAATAACAAATCCAGTCATCTCAGTATTAACCCCTTTAATAAAAACAATTATTTACATGATCTATGTGTGACTTTGGTCTATCTTTATTTCCATACACGTCCATATTCTGAATATACATTAAATCTATTATTTTTCATTGCTTACAAAACGGTAACGTTAGTAGATTTAGTTTTTCAATTTTTCTTCCTCTTACATGTGTTTGTTACTCAACCCTAAGGCCCCAAGTTCCATAAGCTAATAATAATAGTATTGAAAATAATCATATTTTACTTAGACTTTGGTTTTCACGAATCATAGATTATTAAATCTTCTATTATTTTCTATTTATTGTTTTTAACATTTTGAACACTTTACTTACAGTTTTCTTGATGGAGTATTATTTAATTTATAGACATTTAAAAATATATATATATATTTATGGATCTTCGATTGTAATTGCAATTGAGATGTTTTCTAAAATTTACAACAAAACTACCCAGTCTGCAATTATCATAATAAATACAAGCTTTAATTTGGAATAGTATAATAAAGTAAATTATATACAAAACAACAATTTTATTATTCACTGAAAACTAAATTCACCTGTAGATCTATTATGACTTGTATTAGTAATTACTTATGCTGTTAATGTATATTATAACATCTCTATATCATCTATCATAAATATGTTCCAACATCTCTCAACATCAACAAATCTACTCTTCCTTAAAATCTACATTTACATATCTATCTACACCATAATTACAAAAAGTAATTATTGTGTATGATATAATTAGATGAGTATAATTATTTCCAATTTGATTATTGTTATGAAATAATCCTATAAACAATGACATTTATTTGAAACAGGTAGTTTTGAACTTGGCTGTAGCAGTTAAGGAATTAGTGGAAAATTCACTGGATGCAGGAGCTACCAAAATTGATATTAGATGCAAGAATTATGGTATGGATAGCATTGAAGTTTCGGACAATGGTTCAGGAGTTAATGAAGATAATTTTGCAGCATTGAGTAAGCAAATATTACATGTACTTTATTTATTGTTATATTAAATTTATAAGCATTAGTTTTGTGCATGGTCTTCTGTAATATCATATGTCAACAGAATGAAGATTATGATTTTGCATGTTAATTTTATTGTATAAACTTAGAAAGGGAAAGACAATGAATTGTATTGAAATTCTCTTTGTCACTTGATACAACATGCAGTGATTTTAATTAACCAAATTTTATTTGAAATAAACCACAATCTCATACAATAAGCCCACTGAGTTTCTTGTGAGTGGGTTACGATTTCGATCTGGTGGTAGGTTCTACGAATAACTGCTTTTGCTAGGGCTAGTGCTATCAGATTATCTCATGTTGAGCCCATGAGCTCACCTACCTGTAGTGTGTAGATGAGTACCCAGTAGGTGGCTACCCACGCATAGCTGGATTAGCCCTTTAGGCTACCATCAAATATGTAGAAAAAAATTGAAATAGACAATTATCTTTCTCTTTATTTTCAGCCTTAAAATATCATACATCAAAATTGAGTGATTACTCAGACTTGCTTGGAGTATCAAGTTTTGGTTTTAGAGGTGAAGCTCTTAGTTCACTTTGTGCTTTGGCAAATCTGACTGTAACTACCAGGCATAAAAATTCCAATTATGGTGAGATTTTTTTGTCAAAAATCTATTATTATTATATGTAGAATTAGGATCATCTTTATGATTACATTGAATATTCTTATTCATGCTGTATATACAGACAAAATAGAAATGTTTCTTGTCTGAGTTTCTCACCGAATCTGTTTAGTAGGTCGCGATTCCGATCCGAGTGGTAGATTCTGTGAAGCACTGCTCTTGCTAAGGCTAGTGTTAGCAAATTCTCTCAGGTTCAGTCCGTAAACTCACCTACCCGTCCACACAAACCTGGAGTAGCCCCCCCAAGGGACCTAGCCTACTACCAGCGATTACATGAGACCCGGCACGTTTTGTGCCACGGCGACTTTGCGTTGCCCGGTCGCCTGGGCCGATGTGTAGTTAGCGACGGCCTCTTTAAGACGGTTATCATAGCGCACCGCTTTTTCAAAGAAGCGTTTAACGCGTTATTTAGTTACTTACGTATAGGTTTCGGTAATTGAAGGTTGTCGTGAAGATCTACATTCCTCAAATACCACGGTGCTCAGTCGGCTATCCTGCAAAAAGGGGAATGGACGTCTTGTAGAGTGTCGCCTTGTTACGAAGGGACAATTTACTTCGCTTGCAAATTATGAGGTAGGGTCGACCGCACTGTTTTAAATCGAAGGCCGCGATCTGGAGTTTACTGTTAGTAGTATTAGATAGCCGTATTATCGGCGAAGAGGGCTTAGTGGATCCCCGGCGACCAGCGGCGGGGTGTCATTGAGTATATAATTCAAGGGCTCGAAAGGTTCAAGTTAGTTTGTTTTTTATGTTTTAACTAGCGGATCCGATAGACGTTGTCCTGCATACACAAAATGAATGAAATGAATGCATAGACAAAAATTCATTCAAGTCGATCCAGCCGTTTAGGAGGAGTTCAGTGACATACACACGCACAGTACAATTATATAGGAAAGTGACTGGGAACAAATCACGCTTGGTCATCCGGCCCCAATATAGGATTCCCTGTGTTATGGGTATCAGAGACTAATTAATTTTTGCGTGTGTGTTGTGTGTGTGTGTGTGTGTGTGTGTGTGTGTGTGTGTGTGTGTGTGTGTGTGTGTGTGTGAGTGAGTGAGTGTGTGTGTGAGTGTGTGACCACCTTTCTGTTTGGTAGGCAATTCCCTTACACTTAATATGGTGTTTGGGGTCGTATACAATAGCTAAGAAATCTTGGCATCGATTTTAATTTGTTTTTTTTAATGTAAAATCTGATATACCTATATTTTTTACTTGTTAACTATAATTTAATTGTATTATTACAGCAACTAAAATAGAATACGATCTTAAAGGTAACATTGTAAAGACAACACCATGTTCTNAATACGATCTTAAAGGTAACATTGTAAAGACAACACCATGTTCTAGGCAAATTGGAACAACCGTTACTTGTACAAATCTGTTTCATTCCTTGCCAGTGAGACAAAAGGAATTTCATAACAATGTAAAAAGAGAATTCAACAAAATGACGCATTTACTATATGCATACTGTTTAATTTCAATAGGTGTTAAGTAAGTCAAAATATCCATTCAATATATTTTTTTATTTGCATAGTTAAGTGAACTAGCTTAAGGTCTATCGGTGTTAAAAGATTACCGGAGCCAATCGACATCACCACGTGAATACCACCGCACACCGAAGTCTCAGTATTATGGTTTAACAGCTATTCAGTTGAAACTTAGCACTCTGTCGCCGCACACCCCCTTACCACCAGCTATTACTTGCGTAATCATTTTGCGGGTTTAACTTTTTTATATACACGAGTTTATTCTCTTGTCTTAGGAGTAGGTACCTATATGAAGTACAGTTGAAGGACAGTAAAAATATGCGAGATCAAGGTTTAACTTTTATGATTGCAGAATTACGTGTACGAATCAGACATCTTCCAATACAAAATCTGTAGTAGTTGAAACGCATGGCTCCTCGTATAAAGACAATATAGCCAGTATATTTGGTCTTAAACAACTACAGACAATAATCGAAATAAAACCCGAATACACTCAAAATATAAAAGATAATATTTTTAAAGGTCTATCTAGTGAAGTAGCTCATGACCAACAAAGTTTTGTCATCGAAGATGTGGATATTAACCTATCAGAAGATTCCAACGACAACGAGTCTGAAGCTATTACAAAAGATGAAATTAAATCACAAGGATATAAAAACATTGTTAAACCGTTTGAATTTATAGGTTTTGTATCTTCGTGTGAACATGGGCGTGGTAGATCTAGTACAGACAGACAGTTCTTCTTCGTAAATAACAGGCCTTGTGAACCAATTAAAATAACTAAACTCATAAATGAAGTTTACAGACAATATAATCCAAACCAATATCCTTTTGTTTTTCTGAATGTTAATGTTGAAAGATCGTCTGTAGACATAAATTTAACGCCGGATAAAAGAAAATTATTTTTAACCAAAGAAATAAATATATTGGACGTTTTAAAAGTTTCTTTACTTAAGTTATTTGAAAGTATACCGCGGACATTGAAAGTAGACTCCTCCCAAGATGTTTCTATTTCGAAAGATCATAAACCAGAATTAGATCAACCGAGAATTTTCACCTCTTTCCTGCAACAATTCGATAAAAAATCAAAGCTTTGTGATCCTATTTCAAAAAGGGAAGATTTAAATAAAGTTGATTTAAAAAGAAAATCTACAGCAATTACTGACTACATTACTATGAAAAGTAAAAGACTAGAACAACCCTGTTCAAGTATTAATGAATCAAAATTGATATCCAGTGATATTAATACCAATGAATTGCTTGATTCAGAAGAGATCCCTCAAGTCCCTATGAAATCTGAGGGGCGCAGTGATGACAAAAATGTTACAGAATTAATACCTCGACCAACAAATATAGAAACGCCGATAATTATATCTGACCAAATTAAATCTGAAGAAACTGAAAACACAGAGGAAAAAGAGATTATATATTTAGACTATTGCAACGAAATGCCAAATACACAGATAAAACAGTTATCAGAACAAGTTGTAGAGCAAACTTATACCATTAACTGCAAAACAAAAACAAAACCTAAGATACATTTACCACCGGGATCTAAAAAAACCTCCGAAAGCTACAATAAAGTTTTAACGGTGACAGACAAAGAAGACTTAGGTAAGAACCACAGGAGATCAGTAATTTTAAAAACTTCTTTGCAGCATGTCCAGGCTTTAACAGAAATTTATAATAGAAATAAAGAAAAGATATTACCTACGAAAGTGAAATTTAAAAGCGCCATTAATCCAGTATTCAATAAAAAATGTGAAGAAGAATTGACACGAGAAATATCTAAGGATTCATTTAAGAAGATGCATATTGTGGGGCAATTTAATTTGGGTTTCATAATAACACAACTAGAAGATGATCTTTTTGTAATAGACCAACATGCTACTGATGAGATTTATAATTTTGAAACCTTACAGCGTACAACAGAACTAACCAGTCAAAAATTGGTGATGTAAGTGTTGTGTGTATTCGAATTTAAAATAAAAGTTCCGTTGTTGTTTTTCTGATAGTTCATAAAATTATTGTAATGAATAAAAATTTCAACGTTTTCCTGGCATTACTAATGTCCATAAGTATGACAGCACAATTCCTGCATGTCTAAGAATTATTCATAGAGAAACTTTCCTCAAGAATAAAAGAGTACATCATACCATCATTGAACATACTTGACTATACTTTTTTGGCGAATATATTTATTCACACCCATTTGTTACAGTTGAACGATTAGTATAATTTCCACTATAGGGCTCAAAATGTACATATTTTTCTAAATTGTTCCATTTTCTTTTTAATATAGTCTACTCATTTTTACATTCTCATCTTTTGTGCAATCTGTTAATGAGTAATGAAATACACTTCGCGGCACTTATAACAATGACAACATCATTATCATAGCCATTTAACATAATGCTAAGAAGTGGAACAATGTATTGGATTTTGAATATATTTCTTTTTTATTACACAGGCAAATTTTCATATTTTCAGCCCACAACAACTAGAGTTAACAGGTGTAAACGAAGAAATACTAATGGACAACATAGATATTTTCAAAAAGAACGGTTTTACATTTGAAGTAAATAAGGAGGCATTGCCAACGAAACGTGTAAAACTTTTGACTATACCAATGTCGAAAAATTGGTTATTTGGAAAGGAAGATATCGAAGAAATGCTCTTTATGTTAAGGGTAATTAAAATAAAACTATTTACTAAATATTTGCTGACGCCGCACTCCTTAATTTATCATAGATAGACTTTGGACAGGAATCGGCAATCCGATATAGTTAGAAAATAAGGTAGGATAGGATGGATGATGAGTAAAAGTGGAGTACCGTGACGGCTTTAAGAGTCGATCAATTGCATTACGTTACTAAATTTTAAGTTAGGAACTATTCTTGTACATAATGCATATTGAGAAAAATATCCCATTTTGTATTATCATTTACAATGTGTTACAATAGGAAGCTCCGACCGAACATTGCAGGCCGAGTAGAGTAAGAGCAATGTTCGCATCGAGAGCTTGCAGAAAGTCTGTCATGATTGGCACAGCTTTGAAAAAATCCGACATGAGAACGCTGGTCGACCATATGGCAGAAATTGATAAGCCGTGGGTAAGTAACGTAATGTCACGTAATGTCTAGTGAGATAGTCATCATGAAATCATTGAAATCTTTTAACTAAAAATATGCCAAACTGGAATTTATCAGAAAGGTTTTCATAAAATATCAAAAATGGTTACTTTAAAAGATTAGCTAGTTTTCCTCCATCCACCACCGCCGCCTAAGGACCTAAGAATCTACCTAATCCACTATGTGCTTTCACCATTATTGTTGAAGAGTTCTACATGAAAACTAGGCCATAGCATCGCCCACTGAATTTCTCGATCTTATCAGCGAGTCGCGAATCTGATCTGGCAGCAGATTCATTCGCAAAGCAGTTGCCCTTGAGCTGTTAGGTCTCCTTCGGAGGCGCTCGGGCAGCAGTTATTGAATCCCACATCACCCAGCTGAACACGTGCTCACCCACCTGTCGTGGTGAAGCTCAAAAGACCTCTGCGCCACCAGTAATACCTCCAATACAAAAACAAAAAAAAAATCTAGTTTGAAGATTGACTTAGCAGTATCTCAATATTATATGTATAAGTACTCAAAATACTCAAATGACATTATTTATAACATTAATCCGCATTTTCATTTTTATAGAACTGTCCACATGGACGCCCCACCATAAGGCATTTGGTCAACTTAGCTATGGTCCAAACTGAGTACAGCAGTGGATATAAATTTTGAGAACTTCAGTTTTATTTTAGTATTATTTCTATCAAAAATCATGGAAGATCGTTTTGATAAAGAATTTTTTTTAAGAAATAAAGACTTAAATTTTGTATGATTTATTTAAACACTAATAGTTTTAAATATATTAAATCCTGTATGTGCTGTTGTTACAATAACGCCAGGTAGTTGCTTGTGCCAGTGTAACTCTTTAATATCAGTCTGTCCTTGATGAATAAATAGTAACTGAGGCGGAAGGTTCTGAAATAAAATAAAAATATTACAAAGTATCTAAAAAAGATGGTACAAAATAATTATCAAAACAAATGAAGACAATTCTTAAGGCTTCGTCAAACAGAACGCGTAATTAGCGCGAGTCAGAGCGCTAAACTGACGCCGAGATGTGTTGTACTACTATGGTAACATACCGTCAAACAGAGCCCCAGCGCTATAAGTACGCAGAGCTCTGTCGCGGCGTTAGGACGCTTTGACGTCAGGCGTTGTAATTTTTTACAAATTTTATTTTAGCTTCCGAGTGAATGTGTATTAAAATACTAGATAATGCCCGAAAAAATGATATAAATAGTTATAAAATACCCATGCTTATACAATGCCACATCTGAATCACTCGATTTCTTAATACTTTTAAATTTTCACACTGCTATCGAAAGGCACTATGATTTGGCGAATGCGTTGCGTCAAGGTGCATTAGACTCATCTATACTATTTTCTGTGACATGAAAAGAGCGCGACGTTAAGTACGCGTTCTGTTTGACGAAGGCTTTATAGATGATGGCTTATATTTTGTGCGATTAAAGCAAAAAAGAAATGTGATTTTAAGTAATTAATTGATTACGTTAATAAATAGACAAACCTTTAATTCATCATCATCTTCAACTTCATCATCGTCTTTTTCAACCGCTAAGTCCCAAAGAGCTACTTGATTATCTTCTCCTGCTGATGCTAACACGCTGGGCTCGGTCCAATGCCATTCCACTGATGTAACTGGTGCAGTGTGATGTTTGAATGTACCCACTGGAGTACTATTTGTAAACTGTCTCAAGTCCCAGATATGTAGAAAACCATCATCACCGCCTTGAAATAATCAGAAAACGTTTATTATATTCAGAGAAAAATTTATATCGTAACTTTAAAAGGGAAGATGTTTTTTTTAACTGCTTTCAAATTATAAAACAGAATATGTTATGAAAACAGATAATAATATGCAAAGTACGAGCCGTGGTCTTTATTTGTAGTTGTAATCGTAAATACACATTTCCGTTAGTGTGTGCACCCGACGGAGCGGTCAGTAGCTATTATAACTTTTGCCACATTTAGCCTACACTGACGCGTATACAGATTGGTCACTCACACAACTATACAATATTTTCATACATAACGCTTATAGAGTAAGATTCCAGGGCTCCCAGGCGTCACGTATTTTCTGACGAACGAAATGTGGCCGATTGCGTAGTGTTAGTATGTACTAAGAACGCATGCCTACCTGCTACCTTGCTTAGACGACCAATTTTCAGGTATCAGGTACTCAAGGTACATAAAATCATGACCTACTTCACGTATTTTCTGAAATATGATTTTTATATATGTCCACCAGACAACTATTTTAAAACCTCTTACAAAAAGACAGACCGATCCAAGGTGCCAATCATCCTCTAAATTCAATTTAATACTTCTGTGGGTGAGAGCGCGAGGGCAGTGTTAGGATATATTGACTTCTCTGTCTCTTTATCTCTCTCTTACAGTTGACTTATATCAATTAATTATTAATATTAAAAGAAAATCAGTTAAAAATTAAATAATCAGGTAAATGCTTCATGGCAGAAATAGGCGGGGTGGTGGTACCTACCCGTGCGGACTCACAAGAGGACCTATCCACCAGTTATGATAATTATAGTGTTAATCAAAATTATCTTTAATTTTAGAACCAGTTTTATAAATTTGTAAACTTAACAGTTACACTTAAAGACTTACCGCTTGCAATAAATGGCTCTTTTCCATTCCATGATATAACATTAATGTCACTTTGATGTGCATTTTCAGCTGTGAGCATGCAAGCCTTTTGTGGTGCTGCTCTAGTATCCCATATTCTTATGGTCTTATCTACAGAGCATGTAGCTAATACGTTCCTGGATATTAAAAAAAAAGTATTTTAAATTATCATTGTGGCACATTACAAGGGACGGCTCATAAGTCTGCGGTCTACGTTATCTTATCAATAACGCATCAATTCGGAATAGACAGCACTAATTGTCGGTTTCAGCGACAATATAAATACAAAAATTAAGTTACAAGCAATTGAATCTGTGGAGCGATAAAAATCACCATGTCCGCCGAATCCTGAAATCCTATTTCGAAAACCGCGTTGTGATTAAGTACCTTTAAAAAAGAAAATAGATAGGAAATTTGAAGACATCTCATCGGTTCTTCGGGATTCTGCACCGTGTACGACTGTGTTTTGTTAATGTTTCAGCAAGGGTTAGGAAACCCGACTCGGGAGCTGCAAGGATTTCTTTAAAGTAGCCTGAAGAAATTTGTGATCGAATTGTCACCGTAAATAAAACGTGGATTTGTCAAAATGACCCAAATTGAAAACAAGAATCCATACAATAGTTTAAAAAAGGAGAAAGGCCGCTAAAGAAGATTAAGGAGAAGACGGGGCCGAAAGGGGCAACTGTTTTCTGGGATTGCGAAGGAATTTTATTGATCGTTTAGTCGCTTAACTTAAGGGAACTACGACGAACAGTCAATAATATACCAATTTATTCAAAATTTAGAGCGATCGATATTTTTTTTAATGTTTTGTATGGTTTTAATTTTTTTTTCCTGAAGAACGCAGGATAAATCCCATAAATGACAGCTGATGTGCAGTAAAAGATCGCAATAGACTAGGCACTCTATCTCACTTACACCCGCATGAACAGTGGCTACCTCGCGCTCGCACCTACAGCGGGCTCTCAATGTGTCTGGCAAGATGTAAAAACCATTAAAACTGTTTGGCTATTGAGTTAACATATTTTTATAAGTCCCTAAGTAACATATATAAAATTCAGCTGTTATAGTATAACGAAAGTATAATTAAAATTTATTAAAGTTTAGGGGTATCTGGCAGGAGGTAGCAACTGTAAAAAGTGTCCGGCAATGGATATCGTGATTTCTGAAGATATTCTGGAGTAAATAATAAAAAAAGTTAACTTTATACTTTAACGAATTTAAGGTACTATTTTATTTACCTTTACTGCCAGCTACCTGCCCAAGTAACCACAATCGAAACTCTATAGTCGCGGGTCGTTCTTACCTGTGTTAGAGACATACACAGAGAGACTTTCAGCTTTTATAAAATTACGAAGGTCTGGCCGTCGCGGGCTCTTGCTCTATAAGTTAAGTGAATCGAATCCTTCAGATCGTAGTAATTATGTGAAGAAAGATAGATTACAAACGAATGCTGACACTATAATTATTTACATTATTATTATAATGTTTATGACGGTACAAAGCGAAGCAAGTCAAGTCGATAGGCAAAAATAATGAAACATGTTGCAAGTACATAGTTCTAAAAAGTCCTCGTTGATTTTATTTGCTTTGGTCGTTTGTGCCGTACGTATCACCGTGTTTTGATCATTGTGCCTATTGTGATTTTACCGATGGCTCCTATTATTAAATGCAATGTGTGGCCCAATTTCGTAGACTGATATTGGAGCAAAATGCAAAATATGTCATTGTATCGTAAAAACAAAAGGTAACACCATAAACCTTTCTAACCATAGGAAAATACATCAACCTTTGTTTTCGCAAAGTAATGAAACGAAAAATTCAAAATTTGAATTGATTTTTAGGAGATCCAACAATCGATTCAGAGGCCTACGATCCAAAAAATCGATTCAAAAATAAAAATCGTGCATCCCTAACACTGATTCATAGTTCATACAGCCGCCATAAATTCTTTTGTCTTAAATCACGTGCAAGAGGGAGGGCCTATTCATTGTACAGTGTACACGTACCGTACGCCGCGTATCAGACGCCCCTCGTACATTTAAATTATTAAAGAAAAAATTACAGAAAATTAACACACAAACACAGTGCAATGATCTTGTCACCGGATCTTCTCAGTGGGTCGCGATTCCGATCCGGTGGTAGATTGAGCGAAGCACTGCCCAGGCTAAGTACTACTGCCCCGTGAGCTCGCCTACACGTTCAGTGAAGCTAGCTAACACCTCAAGACTACTAGCATAGATAGGCCAAAAAAAAATTAAAGTATCTAACGTAACACGTTTTAAAAAAAAAAAATTCTTGCATTTATGGGTGACACACACCATATAGCTGCGGAGAATTTCCAGTCTTTAAAGATTCAAAACTACATTTGAATCTTCCCTTTACAATTTTGACTTTGGAAATGATTCTTCTACCTCTCGTATAACAATGGCACCTCACAATTTTTTCAAATACTTTTCTTACCTTTCATTTGGAGACCATTGTATGTCTTCAACAGAACTGGTATGCCCTACAAGGGGTCGTTGGTCTACAGTCCAAGTGCCACCTTCATTTGGTCTCCATATATGAATGTCTCTTCTGCAGTCTCCAGTTGCCAGCATCTAAAATAAAAATTAAAGATGTGGTGTCGAGGGACACCAGGTAGGAACGAAGTTCCTTCGGCTAATGTAGAATCGACACAATTTGCAAAAAAGAAATGGTGCTCAATTTTATGTAGGTTTTCTTGGTTTTTCTCTTAAATTTTGCTGATTAGTTTTTATTTAAGTACGGGAAAGTATTTAGGAAATTCAGTATTTTAGGAAATAATAAATTACGTAAAATAAAAAAAAAAGTAATTCAAATTATCAATTAAAATAACAAAATATATCTCTTTATTTTTGGTTGACAACATAAAATTACATAGAAATAGAAATAATTACTAAATAGAGAGAGAAGGGATTAGAGAACGAAAAGAAAGAAGGAGAAAGAGAAAAGTATTATACACTACTCGCTTGTGTATGCGACTGTCGCGCCTGCGCACGTCTCATTTAACGGTTTTATTCCACGCACTTTTTTCCACGGATTTTTTCTTACGGTTTTACTATCACATTTTTTTCAGTTCGGTCGCGCAGCAAAATCCCTATCCCCTCCAAGCCTGCCGTAAGGAACTTCGTTCCAAAAATAAAATAGTTTTAAACATTTTTTTTGTATCAATGTAGTAAGTAGTTAATAGGGGTTTTGATCAGATCGTGAGGAGCAAAGTTGTGTGAACTATTTTATTTTGGTCATTTAGTGTTTTTTCAGTTTTAAATGATGCCGATTTATTAACTGCTTCGCATCTGTGAAAGTGCATGAATGAGGGAAATAAAACAAAGCCGCTGGACATAGCTTCTCAAGTTCTTTCAAAAAGTCCACTGAAAAAGGCTCAGTAAATAATCATCATTAAACTTTAACTCATCCCATCTCTTCTCATTGCTATTAATCTCATCTCAGTTGACTAGTCTCAAATTAATGAACTTCATCTCATTTCACTTCACATTACAATAAAAAGTAAGAAGAAAATATAAGTCTGGGTTAAAGATATCATTACCAGGCCATGAAATCTCAAAGTAATCTAACAACTTCTAAAAAACTAATCATCTAAAAAACAAGCAGTACTTAAATGTATTTTAGAATTAAATAATAAACTAATGTGATACCCACACCTGATTCAGTAGGACACCAATCGAGAGCGAAACCCTCTTGCTGATGCCCGTTAAATGAGTATATAGGTTTGACGGGATTTGAAACTGTCTCCAAGTTGTATCTTTCTAACACAACTGGGTCATCCACGGCTTGCAGCTGTTGTGTGATATTCCAAATGTCAACTCGGCCTAGTTCTGACCAACTTGCTGCCAATACAGAGTTTTTAAAATTTGTAGCCTGAAAATTAATTAATTATTCAAAATTGAAAATATACAAAATTCCCAAAAATTATTATTATGTTTGCATAATACTCTCAGGATCAGCAACCAGCCATAAAAATTCATAAATTACATATATTTCATGTGAAATGACATATTAATAAATGATTTAAACTTAACTGTACAAAACAAATCAGAATCGAAAACTTTCAGTGGTTTATAGCACATAGTGAGCCAAGAGGTATTTATTGATTAGACTGATGCACTATCTAATTAAGACTCAAATGCAACTGGTATAGGATCTGAAACCATTGTAACCTTCCCCATTAAACAAATAAGAGCACTACTAAGATTATGTATTTATAATGAACAGCAAATTTAGTGGTCCCAACAAACACAAACAGGTGATACCAGAATTGGCACTGAATCATAAGTCACAGGGTCTATAGAGATTATAATTGGTAGTAGGTACTGTGTATTGGAGGTACTGAAACACAGAAAAGACAGCATGTGCTATTCAAGTGCACAGAAGTGGTTTTCAATGAATCTTCAAACCTATTGTGAATGAGGTCACTACAGGATGCCCAACACAGAGAACTTGAAAATAAACAGTTAAAATTATAGAATAAACCAAACATGTGAGTAATTGTTAAGCACTGAAAGTCCCAGGTGCATGCTAAGGTTCTCCCTTAGGGTTGTTTCTGCTGTAAAAAAAAGAATTAGAAAATATGTAAATTTTGGTTAAAACTGTTGGCAAAGCATATTTAAGCCCACAGAAGAGTTAACACCATTCTATTTCTCCCATGAAGCAGTGATGTATAGTGATTTAAAGGGCAAAACAGCTGTTGTGCAAAACAATTGAATGTTGAACCTCATATCGGTAATCTGTACACCGGTGGTCAAATTCAGCTGAAACCTTCAGCTTGGTTCCCCAAGCTAGAAGTCTCGTTACTGTCTCAATCACAGAAGTAGCATCACCAAAGGCATACAACTTAATCATACCATCACCAAGGGCATACAACTTAAGTGTCTAGAAATCTACCCTGATCACATGCTCCTAGATGAGTGGGAACATCTTGTCATCATTCCTGAATTTACATCTAAATAATGGTGATCTCATAAATGTCTCTAATGTACATGTTTTTTGAATTACAAGACAAAATTGTCACTAGAAGATTTAATAGTTTTTAAACAGGTCTTTCTTGTTACGTTTATTTCAATATAAACTTTATGATTAACATACTAAAAATTTAATAGTGAATATGATTGAATATTTAAAATGACATGATTAAATTTAAAAAAATGTACTTTTCTGGTTCATTGTTTCTCAAAGTTAGTTTGTTAGGTTGTGAACTTAGTTAGTTTTATGTTTACCCTTATTCTGTTTACACATCCTTGATGTTTTATGAATGAGAATGTCATCTGTGGTTTCTGCTCTTCATCTTCATCATCAGAATCATCATCTTCAGATTCTTCATCTTCCTCTGGTTTAGATATAGGATGTAGGTTTGACATTTTTATTACCAAAAGACTGCAAAAAACATGTCATGGTACTAACTAGCTTCTACTTTTATAATATTCACATTTTTTGTTTTACTTACTTATTCAAATGTGCACTTGACGCTTGTGTTCCGGCGACCAAATAAGCAGTCATAGGAAATTCATTTCGATCATTTCCAAGATTGTCTGTAACTATGTCAAAGCTAAGACATGGGGCTCCAGTTTGAGCCTGATGCAGCATCACATAAGCAGAATGATCACAGACCAATTGTTCATCTTCCTTTAAAGGCTGGTCTGGTAAATAAGTTTTCGGGCGATCATCGTTCTGGTCACTCTCCGCTTCTTCATTCATTTCATCGTCTTCATTCTCTGAACTTGAGTCCATACGTTCATCTGCTTCGTTGGACATAATCAATGAGGTTGATTTGAAGTTATGTTTAAATTAAAAGTAAACGTATGAGAAATATGTAATGGAATTCTACAAATTACTTTACTAGCAGGTATTGGAAATTACGTGTAAATTGAGGTTAGAATAATGTCTAGTTTTCCTTCATTTTTTTTTTTTAATAAATTTTAGTGGCTTAGAAACAAAGTAATTTAAGCCAAATCAGTAATTCTGTTTCTTCATCACTCTAATTCACATAGAAACCTCACAACAAATTACAGATTATTAACTACTACACGTCACTACACGAAACTAGGTGTATTATCTATGCTATAAACCACATTTTATGCAAGATAAAAAAAGCAAAATATCACTACATTAATATATACCTACTACTGTAATGATTAGACAGCATTGTCAGAGTGTCATGTATACAATGTATAAAATATTTAAAAATAAAACTCAATCTCTCTCTCTCAAACTCACGAATTTATTGTGCATTAATAAGAAAATCTTCTATCTAAGTATTTGAGTACTTGTGTTGTGACCGGTTCCGATGTCCTACATTCAAAGGTCCCAAACTAGAATTATATAGGTATTGTGTTTTCATCGAACAGCGAAGTTGTCTTATCGCACCTCGTTTCATTTAATATTATTAAATTACATTATAAATCCATTTCACTTTCATACAACAGATATGACTTTGGTCTTACAACAAATTTGGATGTATAGACTATTAACTCTTTGCGTACCGAATACAGCAAAAAGAAAGTTATTGACATAAATTGATTAAAGAAAAAGAACATTTTGGCGGGAACACAAGGAGCGAAGTTTTGTGAATCGTTTTACTTTGTCTGTTTAGTGTTTCTTAGGTTTAAATATGTGATAACGGTGGTTTATTAACTGTTTAGTATCTGTGAAAATGCACAAATGTGGGAAAATGAAACAAAGCCGCTGGATGTAGCTTCTCGGGATCCTTAGAAAAGTCCACTGAAAAAGTCTCAGTAAATTACCAACATTGTCCTGAGAATTTGGTCCCATATCATCTCATCTTATTCATTCTTGCCATTCATTTTATTTCATGCCATTTGACTATTGTTCCAAATCAATCAACTTCATTTACTTTTTATAAAATTTTTTTATAAAATACTAGGCCGTATGGTATGATACATTTGCATTTCCATTTGAAAAAATAGAACTATTTCAATTAATGCCCTTTCCCATGTGACGTTTTCTAAAAAATTGAAAAACAAGGTGAAGACTGAAGAAGATTAAGCTAATAAATAATATTTCTAAGATATGTACTTTATTGTTCCTACATAAAACAGAATCTGAAGGTCTTTGAAATTTCTCACACATTAAATTAAATATTTTGTAATCAACAATTCAAAATGGCATGTACTAATCTGCTGAGAAATATTAAAACCATACATTTTATTCGACGTAGCTTTTTCTCAACTTCGATTATACAAAATAATCAATCTAAATATTCCAAACATACACAATTCCGAACAGAACACAATCAATTGGTGTATTTAGATGATCCTGATAAGTTTGGGACATTGTCCGGTTTCAAAATACAGGACGAAAAACTTGTAGATGCTGGAGATATAAAAGAAGAAGAATATACACAAAATAAACCCTTACCTGGTAAAAAATTAACTACTAGACAGTATGCTGATTTAATTAAACAATACATAAAGCATAAAAGATTAAAAGAAGCTATTGATGTATTGGAGGTGAGAATGCTACAGGAAGATAAAGTGAAACCGGAAAATTATATATTCAACATATTAATTGGTGCGTGTGCTGATGTAGGTTACACAAAAAAAGCATTTCGTTTGTTCAATGAAATGAAAGCACGAGGACTAAAACCTACAGGTGATACTTATACCTGTTTGTTTCATGCATGTAGCAAAAGTCCATGGGCATCGGATGGTTTAAAAAACGCTAAACATCTTCGAGAACATATGATTTTAAAAGGAATAGAACCAAATCTGACAAATTATAATGCAATGATAAAGGCATTTGGATGTTGTGGTGATTTGGTTACGGCTTTCAGAATAGTTGATGAAATGGTAACTAAGAAAATAAAAATTAGAGTTCATACTTTTAACCATCTGCTACAAGCTTGTATATCAGATAAAAATAATGGACTGAGGCATGCTCTGATTGTATGGAGAAAAATGTTGAATGTTAGAGAGAAACCTAATATTTACTCTTTCAATTTAATGCTTAAATGTGTGAAAGACTGTAATTTGGGAACTAAAGAGGACATTGAAGAATTAGTTGGTGCTGTCAAAGGACAAACATTAAAAGGAAGCCAAAATGCCATGCTAGAGATGCAAAATATTGACTCGCAAGAGTTAAAATTATTGCAAGAACCTAAAAGTCCTGAAAAAATTAGAAAAGACCAAATTGATTCTCAAAAAAGTATTAATGGTAGTAACAAAATGAATATGCAAAATTCAGATGCAGTAGAAACAACAGATTTAATGATTACAGAAAACAAAGAAAAGATAACAATACAGTTAGTAGATAATTTAAAAAATACCAGCAAAGAACAAAGAAATGTACCTAATTTATTGTCAAAGGAAATTAATATGCACCATATATTAGCTTTACAAGAAGTGCATTCATTACAAGATAAGTTTACTGTAATAGGTGGACAAGAAGATTTCCTTGAAGAAATGAGTGCTTATTCAGTTAAACCAGACATTAAAACGTTTACACAAATGCTCCCATTATTGGATAATACAACAGAGGCTGAAAATAAACTACTTCATACTATGCACAATATGAAGATACGAGCAGATATTGACTTCTACAACATGTTAATAAAGAAAAGGTGTTTAAGGCTGGATTATGATGCTGCTAAAGTATGATCAAGTCTTTTTTTATTGATATATCCATAGCGTAGATGTGCTGATTATGAGTGATCCCAGTGCTAAGCTGTACTGCAGATTGTAATAACCATAAATGCTGATTATTTAAAAAATTTACTGTGGGCAGACTAGTATATAGCTCACCTAGCCACTAGGTAAGTAGTCACTGTCGCTCATCAACATCAGCAAAACCAAAGGTATAGCCAAGCCACTGCTTGCTGCTGAAGACTCTCTGCAAACTTCATTGAAAGAAGGACATGTCATGGAACTCAGGAAACACCATTTCTTGATTGTCATAAGTTGAGTCCCTTCCCTGTTAATTTAATTGGAAAAAAGCCTAAAATCTAGAATAATTACTTTGTAGTATACATAGAGAAAACTTTTGTGTGTTGAATCAATTTAGAAAAAAAAAAACAATATTGTTTCGTTTTTCAGGCTGTTAAAAAGATAATAAAAAAGGAAAGTGAAATTCGGAAACGTTTGTATCCAGACAATAAAAAGAAGAGATTAAATCTTAATATAATGTCTTATGGCGTCTTGGCAATGGCTTGTAAAACTAAAGAAGATGCAGAAATCCTCCTAGCTGATATGAGACAAGAACAACTTAAGTCAGTAAAATTATTTTTATTCTTACAATACTGTTACGTGCTAGGGTTCGGAATAAATAAAACTTCCACCAAAGTACAAATTAAAATTCTATTTAACACTTAAAACACCTTACACTTCGTAATTTACTCCTTCCGCTTCGCTTCAGGTGATCCGTTCGTTATTTCGCTTCGAGTGGATTCGATTGCTGACTGCATTCGTGTCATCTCTGCAAAGCTTTTATAGTCGATACGACGGGCAAGAATTCACAAAAGGCAATGGTCACTCGTGCCGCTTGTAGGAGTTGTCGTGATGTTAAAATTGTATAAATAATGTGTTAACCCCAACAAATAAATTACTAGTATTTCTTTGGATATCTTTAAATAGTTGTGTTAAAGAACCGCGTATCTATTGTGTCTTGAAACATTGTAGATAATCTAATTACTAAAAACATATGGAAATTTAATTGAACTTAATTTTAGGGTGAATATAGAAATTCTTGGAGCTCTATTGAAACATGGCATCGTAAATTATCGATTCGACTACGTTCTGTACGTATTGAATATTGTAAAAGACGAAAAGGTTCCTGTTAGTGATTTGTTCTTAAAGAATTTAGAGGACTTCAATGAAAAATGTATGAAAATTATACAGCAGGTTCGTAAACATTATTTTTTTAAACCAAACTCAAAATGGCAAAAATTGGAATAAAAGAATTTTGCCTTGTTTGATTGAGTTACCATTTTGATTGCATTTCAAACAAAAAAATAATAATAAATGAGTAGACGACTCTACGACATTCTAGTGCTGCGTGGTTACTGGAGCTCATAGATACCACATTATAAATATCACTGCATAACTGAATTAAAATTAAATTATTTTAAAATATATTTGTAGTAATAAAAAACTTTTTTATTATTTCCTTTCTATATAGATATAGTAAGCGGCACGTAAGTTGGCAAGGTTTTGGTGTAGTGGGCGTAATGTCGCGCATAGTGCACATTGCAACAAAAAATGGTCACTTTTATTGCCCGCATATAATTTAATTTAATTTTATAAAAAAAATTACATATTTGCCATAATTTATTTTTAAGCCTGTGTGTTTAGAAGAAAGTTAAAGAAAAGAGAGGAATTCGTGAAGTGCATTAGGTGTTATAAATAAAATACAATTAAAAGTTAAGAAGTTTATTTAAAAAAATATACTTAATATTGAAAATTATGTGTCGCCGTCATCACTATCATTTTCTAATACTACCCCTTGGATTAAATTTATGGTAGCACCTGAGCTGGTGGAAGGAGTTGGCTCCTCATCGTCGAAATAACGAAGAGTCACTATCGTCACTGGCGTAAATAATAAAACGCTCAGTGACTGAATCGACTATATGGTCATTGGTATTTGGTCCTGGCATTGCAAACAAACTTAAAACAATAACACTCGTAACAAAAACTAAATTTAAAACAACAATAACAACTCGTAACAAAAACTCAATATAAACAAAGGGTTCCTACAATTTAGTAGGCGCATGTGTAACCGGGGGCGAACGGAACGTGGACGCGGTGCGGGAGGGGAGGGTCGACTGACTCACCAGTCGCGCGCTCGGAACGGTGCTTCGTCTTTCCCCGCGTCCCGCTTGACAACCAAAGAGACCTAAAAAATGACTTTTGCGCATCTAACGACTCTTGCCAAGTTACGTGCCGGGGACTATACGACGAACATATTTGATGGTGATTGGTCACTACCGCTCATGGAGGTTAGGAATACACACCAACGGGGCACAGACAAGCCATAGCCTACAAATACTGATATTAACTTAATTACGGATTAATATCATAACAATGAGTTTCTCCTTAAATTTTCAGAATGAAAATAGTCATCGCAAATATTCCAATTCTTTCGAAACAGCTTACAATAAATTTTCGAAGATTTATACTAATTGGTTAAGAGAAGTAAACATTCATGAAGCTTTGAAGCAAGAACATCCTTGGGAACAATTTAAGACTCCCAGCCCAGAAACAGTGCAAAGGCAAAATATTAAAATAATCGAACCAAAGAGATTTAACAAAAGAAATCGTAAATATGTACCATATGTTCCTAAGATATAAATAAAACTTCTTTATTTCGACTTCATCCTTATTTCTACCTAATCACAGTTGCCCCTACGAGATTTGATAAAAATAATTATTAGCATAGCATAGCAGCACTGTTGTTGATGATGTTAATGTGGCATATTTAACACCAGGAAATTAACTTCTACAGTTAGACGAAACACGAAACATAATCCTAATTCGAGTAAGAGAAAATTCATTTTTTATAATGAGTGATCATGACATCTCACGGTCAGGTCATATCACGAAATTTATTTGAAAGGTTATAGGCCAAACCATTTTTTTATCTCACCACAAGAGCTGATGGTGCTTTAAGTTATTACTGGAACAAAGACATCACGATTTGGAATTTGATATTGAATTCCCAATTGTATTTTATTATGAATATCTTTTTAAAACGGACGGATGACTGCTTTGTGGTAGGAAATGACAAAACACCATAAATAATTATGCAAATTTGTAATTTGTGGGTTTTNTGGGCCAAACCATTTTTTTATCTCACCACAAGAGCTGATGGTGCTTTAAGTTATTACTGGAACAAAGACATCACGATTTGGAATTTGATATTGAATTCCCAATTGTATTTTATTATGAATATCTTTTTAAAACGGACGGATGACTGCTTTGTGGTAGGAAATGACAAAACACCATAAATAATTATGCAAATTTGTAATTTGTGGGTTTTTAAAGACATTTTAGTATAAATCATTTATTTTATTTGTAAATGTTTTGATACAATGGCCATTTTAAATTTTAATATGGTGTAGTTTTCGATTTAGTTCTTCAAACTTCAACAGCTTGCGGATGAAAAAGTCACCATAGCGATGAGCCACTTTCGTATCTGCGATATGAATCATATCGTTGTCGATGTAGAAATCCAACTGAAAAAGAAAAGTAGTATTGAATTATTATTTTATTTCATTGCTTAAATGTGTGGACGAGCTCACGGCCCACCTGGTGTTAAGTGGTTAACTGAAGCCCATAGACATCTATGCAGTAAATGCCGCCAGCCGCCTTGAGTTACATATTTTTTTTCTACCTATGCTAATAGCCTTGAGAGGCTATTTCAGCTTCACCCTAACGTGTGTAGGTGAGAGCTCACGGGGTTCAAACCGGAGTGATGCTAACACTGACCCTAGCAAGAGCAGTGAGTGCTTTGCAGAATCTACCACCGGATCGGAAACGCGACCCACTGAGAAGATCCGGCGAGAAACTCAGTGGGCTGTGTCTATGGGTTAAATCGCCGTCGAGCGCTTCGTTGCAACCGACGGGTTCGACGAGGACGGTGACCGGTGCTTAGGGTGCCTAAAAGCACCATTAATGGATCAATATTATTATTATATCTAAGGTCTCAGTATAGTGCAACTTTTGCACCACCCTTTAAAGTGAAACGCATTACTGCTTCAGATATAAGCTAGGTGGTGGTACCAAGACGTCCTACCACCAGTAATTACGCAAATTATAATTTTGCGTGCTTAATTTTTATTACAATTCCTTCACTGTGGAAGTCAATCGTGAATGTTTGTTAAATATGTATTTCATTAGAAAAATTGCTACATGCCTGCGGGATTCGTATATCGTTGCATCGCTAGATACGAACGCACTGGACGTCTTATCCTTTAGGTCACGACGACTTGAATTCAAGCTTAAGATAAATAGCAATTATAGGCAGTATAACAGGTTTGTTTACCTCAGAACCACTTTGGAATTTTCCATCGAGACCACTGGGGCCTTTAGTCCAAACTACGTTCTTCATTTTGTGCTTGAAGCAGAGCAAGTGAATGGCGAGAGCCGCATGCTCACGTGCCGCGTCACGCTCACTGCCGCGAGCAGCAGACATGAATGCAGCTAGTTTCGCCATCGGGAGGGTGGTGTATAGTTTCAAATAGGAACGTATGGTCGGAAGCATTTTTTGTTGACGGACCTACAATATAATAAGTGAAGGTTACTCGTTAGAGATATGAGAAAAAGAGACTCTAAGTTGACTAAGGTTAAAGTATCAATATGAGCAGTCCGCATTGTCGTCGTCGCTGTCGTTGCCGAACATACTGTGGAAAAGAGGAACCCGATCGGCAGTGTATGGCGTTCTGACCCGGCAGGCTGGTTCTGGCCCAGCGGGGTATCTCGGAACACCAGTGGCATCGCCCGGGCGGCCTGGTAGCGGCGCCGTACCGCGGAGACCGGCGTCGTTGGTCGTCGACTAACGCCTCGACGACCCGTCGGTCGGGCGTCCTTGGGGTGGCGCCGCGTGTTTAGTTGTATTGTTGACCGTGGGAACCCCCTACTCTGACCCCGGATGGAGATCGGACGTCGGGTGTAAGAGTGAGTGCAGGGCAGTCATTTAGTGCGGTAGGGCCTAAAATTCCTTGGGCCCGCGGTCTGCTCCCAACACCTGCAGACCGTCAAGTCCCACATACCTCGCGCGCCCCCTAGGCGTGGGGACCTCGTAGGTTAGGCCGCAGGACCGAAAAAAAAAATCAACATGAGATGAAACCATAGTTGGGCATCGGTCAACCAGGTTTAGTTAAGCTTGACTCTCATCCTATGAATAGAGATTGTTGGAGTCAAATGAAGAAGAGGTTTAATAAACCAAACTAGTCTAGTTTAAATTGATCATCTAGATAGATAATATCACAATACTATCACTAATATTACCTCGTCCATAAAGACTTGGGTCTGGTGTTTGACAGCATCACGGCCATAGTTGGCACCGGGTTCAATGGGCGGGGGACACGCCGATAAGAATTTGGGGCACGCGAAAGTAAAGCAGCTCTCGAATTCACCTAGGTCTCCATATTGCATTTTAAACATCTTCTCATGGTAGTTCTTTTCTCGAAGCACCTGGATATAGAATTTGTGTTTGTATGAATATAATATAATTAGTACATACACTATATTTTAAGTCATCTAGATAAAGCTGGTATGATAGGTTACTAACCTGCTGGATGGATTCATCAACGCACTGCGGATGCAAGACCAAACAAATGGCCAGTAAATGGTACATTTGCTCGGTCTGTTTGTTGATCTGATCATTCTGGTAGGAACGGGAGGAGAACAATTGTTTAGTGCGTTGCATGTATAGCAGCGCAGAAGAGAGGGTGCGGATGGCGTCGGCGTACCGACGCATCATCATGTACGCGAATCCGACATAGTATGACGTGGAGATCTGACACGCCGGCACGTGAGAGTATTGAGACTTCTTATGAAGTTCAATGTTTTCAAGTACCTGAAATCATTATATTGCATGTTTCTGGGAGCTTTGATTCTTTTTGGAATTGGTGTTAGTCATTCCGTAGGTACATTGAAAAATTGTACATTTATTATTATTTGATTTTATTAAAATAAAAATTTAGTATGAAAAATTGAGTTGTATTACTATTATTTCATTTACACTACTGACACTAATTCATATCTTGAAAAGCTATTGTCGCTCTTGCTTGCAAGTTGCCTACCACAGTTCTAACTTTACAGTCAAGAAGACAAAACCGAGTTCCCATTCAACTGTATGATAACTACTATTATAATTAAACAATGACTTATAACCCATAGACACAGCCCACTGAGTTTCTCGCTGGATCTTCTCAGTGGGTCGCGTTTCCGATCCGGTGGAAGATTCTGCAAAGCACTGCTCTTGCTAGAGCCACTGTTAGCAACACTCCAGTTTGAGTTAGGGCGAAGCTGATATAGCCTCTCAATGCTATCAGTATAGGTAGGGAAAAAAAAAGATGTGCATTTCTCAGAGCGATAAGAGTTGTATATAAGTTCTAGCACCTACCTAATATGAAGAGATTTATGCACTTGTTTGTCCATCCTCACTACAAAAATGCGTTATTACTATTCTATTACAAAATTAATATTGTTTCGTACCTTAATGGCTTGGTAATAATCACCAAGTAATGAGTGCAGACGCAGGAGACCAACTAGGGAGAAGTATCCCAGCATTTTGTACAAAGAATGACGACCAAACTCGCCAGCCACAGAATCAGGATCACCACCAGATGCATATACCTGAAGAAAGTAAGGTATTTTACACACACAGGATTTGTTTTACGTAGCTATTCGTTTCGTTTTTTTTATGAATTTTGTTTTGGAATGGTAAACAGTTGACGTCGCTCTAAATTCTACTTGTTAGGTGTATCTAACATGACCCTTCAACGAACCTTCTAGTAGGAAAAAAAAAATTAGAAAACATACCTCAAGCTGACGTTTAATATTAGACTTGTCTACGAGAGAGTGCAGAACATTGAGGATGCACAGTACGTTCCAAGCCTTATTCTCAGTATTAAGAGCTTCAATTTCAGCTGGACTCAACTTTGTGGTACGAGACCTGGGAAAATTATCAATTTCTCTTTATAGTATTTACAAGTTCTGAAATTAATTATCTAATAAATATCTTTTCTTGTAAATATGCCATCAACTTGATTTAAATATTTTTTTAAAAGTACTTTAAAAATTTTTCTAGAGTAATTTTTAAATCTGCATTTTTACATGAATCTTGATCTTATTTGGGAAAGTAATTTCTAAAACATCCTTGTGACAGAATATAGGCCTAACAGGCAGTATGATTTTGTACATCAACAAGGTTTCCAATACAAAAACGTTTAGTCTAACCAAGCCAACTGTAACCTCAGTTTTTTTTTCTTTTATATTACCTGTACTGGGCAAAAGATTGGAATTGATAAACAAATTCATCAATAAGCTCCCACAGCCACTGGTCGGGCAACTCGAGAGGTACAGGAGTTACAGAGAGGATGTAATTAAATAAGTCACAGTAGTTGTAAAATGAGTGGAAGCGCTGCTCTGGTTTTGGTCCTCCAGGGACTCTTGCATAGATGTCACGGTAGTATAGTTCTTTGTATAGGATCATGAATACCTGAAATCAATATGATTGTTCAATTGAGTTGAATAGTTGGACTGCATATAACTGTCCAGTTTATTTCTACAACATTGATTTTGTGTGCTCCAGTTTGAAGGCTGTAGCAATTATATTACAATTTAATTGGGACTTTAACCTCTTGTCACAGAGTGGGTGGCAGTATTCACATTGTGACCTCATGAGCTCTGGTAACATCAGGTCATATGCAAACTCCTTTATGCATCTATACAAAGTAATAAAGAGGCACTAGTTCCAAAGGTCAGCTAACACAGATCCTACAGTACATTAGGCAATGTCACAATATTGTTTTAAGGTAAGTAGGAAAGTTTGCCAATGTGTCCATACTTTTAAATATTATGTAGTACCATATAGGAAAGGGCTTTACATTATCATTGTCCACAATAGGTGAGACCTCATCTTCATCTGGCCAAGGTGTATTTTCAAAGTATTTCTCAGTGAGTGTGGGGAAGGTATTCTCATAGAGGTTCAGGATCTCATATGTTACACCTTCATTAATCATGTTGCGAAAGTAAACAAGGAATTTCTTGACCTGCAAAATAATGAAATAAACGATGTTAAACAGTACAAAGGACAATGACCACATATGTATGGAATTCCGTCTTAAGTTGTTGCGCAATAAATCTTTATGTATTATAGACTACGCTTTATATATTATCGAATAAAAGTGTTCGCTTCCCCATAATCATAATTAACCGGGTTTTCAAGTAATTAGACCAAAACGGACATAACCTATAAATAATGTTAAGCCCACACACAAAACATATTAATCATAGTTTTCACACACCGACTTCTCCTCATTATCAGAGGCTCAAGCATCAACATGATTATAGAATTACAGAAGACTCAAGAGTTCATAAACAAAACATATAAACGTCCTGGCATAATAAAACATTTTTAGGTTTAGGTACATAAAAACGTATGGCCACTTGCTGGGTTGCAGCCGCCGCGCCGGCTCGTCTATCGACAATATCATAAGCTTGACAGTTGGGTCTGCGTGAAACGGAACACAAAAAAATTATTATTTTCACTTAATGATAAAATCATAATTCAATGTGTTGTAAAATATAATATAAGTATATAATATACCTAGTTATTTAACTGTCCAAGATTTTGATATCATTTTTGTGATAATTGAGTCTAAAAACTCATGCATGAGTAATCTGTCTAAATAGAGAGAATGAAACGTCATGTCATGACTTTAATACGGAAATGATGCGAACAATTGTTCATTTACTATTAATCTTAAAATCATAATTCCAGTCCTGTACAAAACATTTCTGTAGTGAAAATGGTTGTAAAAAATGAGAAAACTATTTCGATGTTATTTTGATTCTGCAACATGCAACTTTGCTAGACGACTTTTGGTCATTCTCCTTTTACCTTATGAAATAACTAGATGGAAACTTGATACATAATTTGTTACTATTTCACAGATAGCTTATGAAATATTACCATCAAAATAAAACGTAGGTACAGTTCAAATTATGTAAAAATTTAGATATTTTGTGTATTATGACTGTTACATGACTAGGTTTCTGTTTTATAAAATGTCAGTAGTAATCATCAATGAATCTCTATATCGTTTAAAAACCATTCTATAATATGATGCATTCATAAACTATTCCATGTTTGCAAATCATAGCATCAAAATATGGTATTTTTATAACGTTATGTTATGATATAGTACTTAAATATGAGATGAGAACTTACCATGTCAGGCATTTTATAATAAGAAGACCTGTCATATTCCGGCTCGTAGTGTTCTGTGGACTGTGCTTCATAGTCGCCATAGGATTCGTAACCTCCCTGGAATAGCACAAATATATATTTATAATATTGTGTATGTACTTATTTACATATTTACCAGGATATGTGGTAATGTTGGTGAGCCATCAATATCAGCATTCCACAGACGTCCAATGTTGGCCATAGGTTGAATTTTTACTGTATATTTTAATATTAAAAAATATAGATACCTCATTATAATCGTCGCTGGAATACATGGTTGTTAATAGAATCTAACAGTATTCATACGTTAGAGTTTATGCGTCTGAACGAGTATTTAGTTTGAGAATAACCTATTCAGCCATTCGCAATTTCGTGTACGTTCTCCTATCCAATCATAGACATTTTTTTTGGTACAGTTTTTCCTTATTAGGAAAGACAAGGAGATCTAAGCTCATACAGCCTCATCTGCTCTATATAATTTGTGAAATAAATTTTCAAAAAAGCCGAAGGCAGGTCTTATTTGTTTTATATTATATCCTGAAATAAAAATTTCATTAAGGTCGAAGCCAAGTCCTTTATAATTTCTTCCTAAATAAAAATTTCAATAAGGCCGAAGCCAAGCATAGACAATACACATTATGTTCAATGTGTACAGCTTTTTTTTTTTGAAGATTTATGGTATGTTAGCAAGATCTTTAAGCGAAGTGTTATTTCTTTTTTTACACTGTTTAATGATAGTGAATGATCTGAAGTTGGTTAATTTAAGTATTTAATTAATCGGTTGGGTTCTATGCTTGCGAACAATCATAGGAAGACGCAAGGACATGGAGGACAAGTTCAAAAAAATTTCAGCCATAAGCAGCAAATCACAACTTAAAAACCCAGTAAAAAAGTGCGTAGGCGTAGCCAGTGGTATGATATGAATTTCGCAGTTGCAAACGAAGTGAAGTGTGCTGAGTTGAAAAATGTATCAATAGCTTTAACGCTATTTTCGAAGTTAAGCCACTTGCTATGATTGCACACAAATTAGTTGGTTTTAGACGGACACTTTTTCAAACACATAAAGAGCACTTTATCGTCCATATTATGAAAAACATCGATAAAACTTAAGATTGTTTTTTTTTTGTTTTCCTACCTAAGCTGATGGTCTTGAGATACCATATTAGCGTTATCAGGCGAGTGGGTGAGCTCACGGGGCTCAAATTTGACGTTGTTGCTAACACGACCCCCAGTAAGAACCGTGCTTCGCAGAATCTATCACCGGATTGGAAACGCGATCCACTGAAAATATCCAGCGAGAAACTCAGTGGGCTGTGTCTTTAGGTTAATTTACTAGCCGAGCCATCCGTCATTCGACGAGAACGATGATCGGTGCTTGGGATACCCAAAAGCACCGTTAGTAGATTGGGAGGATCTGAAATGACGTGAAAATTAAGAACAATAGATTGTTTGTTTATTTGATTGAACGCGTTAATCTCAGGAACTACTGGTCCGATTTGAAAAAATATTTTAGTTTTACATAGCTCATTTATTCAGAAATACTATATAGAGGCTATATAACATCGTGCTAAGACCACTACAAGCGGAGCACCAATAAAGAAAATTTGAAACATTTCAAAATGGGGGTATTTTTCTGTTTTGAAAGCTTCTGCTACGTGTGCTGTGGAAACGGTTAAAGTTTCGCTAAAACAATGTATGACCAAATTGTTCTCTTATAAAGTTCTAAAAAACTTTTTCTACTACGACGGATCTATATTTTTATGTTTGCTCCCTATAACGTTTTTTATACTAACCAAATTTTATGAAGATGATATTAATCCCTGTCCAAACAATTACGTTATTCATTACAATTAATTTTAAAGAAATTTCCCCTCATTTGATTTTAATGAGTATGAGAAGATATCGCAGTTTTAAAATAACATCGCAGCATAATAATTATCAAGCGCGTAATATTGAGGTACGAGACGCCGACCGGCCGGCGTGCTGCGGCACAGAGAAGAATAATAAGAAACACCCAAATCACTTCAAGGTAGACTTTGGAAATTATAGATTTTTCTGAATTTCTCTAGGTTCCCATCATCAGATCTTAATGACTACATGATCATTCGGGAAGTCTACCCTTTCGAACAAAAAAAAGAAAAAATAATTATCGGAATTGGTTCAAACCATATAGTATTATTGTAGATATTATTGACTCCATGGTTCAAGCATTCTCCAAAAATTTGTGAACATATATATAATAGATAAAAAATTGTGGTCGAATTGATAACTTCCTCTTTTGAAGTCGGTTAAAAAGCGTGATTTTGGTACCTTCATGAATACCTCCTTAACATTCTATTATTCAAAAATATTTTCACTTTCTATATAAACGAAGAAGCGGGTAAAATCTAACGTTATGCCAAAGTAACTATTCCACGCGGACGAGGTCGCGGGCAAAAGCTAGTGTCTAATATAGATGGTCACTTCCAAAAATTTTTTAACATTTTATGACTTGGGAGACCTTTAATCCATCTTCCATAGAGAACAACTTGGTACCATAGGTAATACAAATAATTTATGACTTTTCACTCTCAAATCTATGTTTAATGTCTATGCTTTTCAAAAGCTGTATGGGCTTAGATCCCCTTGCCTTTCCTAATAAGGAAAAACTACCAAAAAAAATAATCTATGGTAGTTATCATAGATTATTTAAACTGGAAATTGATCCCATTTTCTATTACCAAATAATTTGCAATATTGCATAGTGCATTGTTTTTACAAAATGCTTACCAAAAATATTACTAACTTATTCATTCGAAATAGTACATTAAAAAAAAATTATGGGTTTTTGAGAAATTTCTCTCTAACTGCGTCGAAAAACGACATTGTGAAAATCCAGAGTACTGATGACTTCAAAGAAAAAGTAATTAATAGTAAAGTTCCCGTCGTTGTCGATTTCTTTGCAACGTAAGTTTTAATTGGCTATCGTTTTTTATGTGTACCTCGTAAATAGGTACAGTAAACGTGGGATAAGTAGTCATTAATTGTCTGCAAATTAATATCAGTGAAATGACCTAATGTCAATTAATGTTGTATGCTAATTATGGTTAAAAATATACCCTCAATAAACATGTACAAAAGAAATATGGTAAAATAATGGTTGGTGTGTATATTCAGTAGGCTTAACTCAGAAAGCTTGAGCTTATAGACTTTACAATACCAATGTCTTCATCTCAAAACTTCAGAGTTATATTGCTTAAAAGTTGAAACCCTGTCAATTAGAACACATAAGTACTTTGCGGCAGAAAGAGGTACCCAACTAAAAGGGTTTAAGATATCTCCTACTCCAGCTCACTATGATCATTATGCTGGTAGAATACTCCTACTTTTTCAGTTTTACAATTTTTGCCTTTTACAGTACCCAAGGGAAGAAATGCAGTGGTTCTATTAGTAGGCTGACACTACAGTTGTGTAATAATAAATATCTATGTTTACATTTGTCATAAATCTATCAGTAAAAATTTAAAAAAATGCACATTGTTGTTACTTATTGATAATTTGTTAATTAAGTACTACTAACCACAAAGGAACTTGTATCTGTTATGATATTAACTAAAAGATATACATATACAGATATATAACTCTTGTGTTTTTAGTCATTACTTACTACCATTTCAGTATTTGTATTTTAAATGTGATAACCTAATTTCCAAAATACTCTCCTGATTTTCTAATCTTAAGGAGGGTTGGTGTCAGAAACATTAATGGCCCCTACATCTAAAACAACATCAAAATTCTGGTTTTCTTTTATTACATTTATCTTATCTATATCTATGTACTCTGATATGAATGTTAAGTTTTTTTTTAATTACCTTGTGGTTTTCTAAATACTGTATAAGAGAACAAGTATATGGGTTTAGAATAATTGTGTTATGACATCACATTTTCTGTATAGTATACCTCCTTTGACACCCTCCTTTGTATGTTGAGACCATCCACATATGCATAGCCTTATCTTGGATAATGTAATTGCTACTTATATGCAAGTTGTGCCTACTGCACTTAATAAGGTAATCCCAAAATATGTGTAATATTTTTACAGGTGGTGCAACCCATGTAGACTACTTACTCCTCGCCTTGAGTCTATAATAGCAGAAAGTAAAGGCAAGGTGGTTTTGGCAAAAGTAGACATTGATGAACAAACTGATTTAGCATTAGACTATGAAGTAAGCTCTGTACCAGTCTTAGTAGCGATAAAGAATGGGAAAGTACAAAACCGTTTAGTTGGACTGCAAGATACCGATAAACTACGCAAGTGGATTGAACAGTTTGCTTCTGAAGAAACTAAAGCAGAAATAAAAGCTTAATTTAATAAAATGAAATGATATATTTTTCTTTGTTACCAATGTAGATTCTTAATTTAATAAATGTTTTATTCAAAAAATTAATTTATTCTTCAAGACATTGTATTAAATCTCGAGCTCTCTTATATGTAACTTCATCAGGTTTGTTAGTCTCTTCTGTTGTATTCTCTTCACTGTTTTCTTCATCTATTTCTTGTTTATTACTTTGACCATGTTTTTCTGTCCATTCATCCATTTGTTTAATGACTTTTTTTGCATCTTCAAGCAATAATGTGCGTACATTCCCTTTTGCAGATTCAAAATACTCAATTAGGGTCTGCCAAGATTCATCAGGTACTAAATTAGTGGAAAACTTATTTTTAAGTAGCCATAACTGTTTAACTTTCATGAACTTCCAGTTTTGTTTGTCATGTTTCCACTGGGAAAGATAGCTGAGACACTGAGATTTGAGTTGATTTTTTGAAAGTTCTGCAGCTTGGGCTTGACGTTTAAGATAGTTTTCTCTCTTTGTTTGTCGTATCGACTTTTTACCTTTTTTATCAGTTGTTTCGGTAATAACGGGCTTTTTCTTTTTCTTTTTACGCGGTGTTTCTTCTGCATCGGAGTCATCAACGTGTTGTCGCTTAACTGCCGCAGGTTTCGATTCAATTTCATCGTCCTCCTCGTTTCCTTCTGCTTCCTGTTTGCGATCGTTTAGTACTTCGGAAGATACTGATAGATTCAGCTTTGTCTTATTTTTTTTATTGTTATGTTTGTTTTTTTTTCCTTTCCTTTTAACCATAGCGGCTTATTTATATACTTTATACAAAATACCCTGTAAGGGTAGCTTTAGTAAAAGTTCAATTATAGTTTTTTAAAATTTAATTATGTTGTTACTTCTTTTACATAAATAACATAACATAACTTAATTGATATTGGTTGAATAAAAATTTTTACTACAACTGAAAGAGCGTGTAACAATTATAGGTTATTTTAGGGATGATGCTCTGACTGAGCATAGACAATACACTTAGTAATCTTAATATTTGGCTCTGAGTTCGGTTAGGACGAATGGATTTTTCATCGAGGTTAAAATATGAATCGATTCACTGAATCAATATTAGACGAAAAAATATAGACTGTTAAAGTAGGTAGTTTTCCAATTACAGCACAAGAGCGCATTATGCGGCATAATGCTCAACGTTGAATGTTCCAACTACAGCAACGCGGCAACGCTTCGCACAATCGAGCACTCTCAAAAGTACTGCTCTCGCGTGATACTCGCAATCGATACCGACTCAGTGACAGAAAATTGACAAGTGTTTTTTCTTTAAGTTGGCATTGATCGAAATTTTGTTTATATTATCGTTAGTAATATTATTGAATGTTGAAAAAAATTATAAGGCTTTCGTTTCATCGTAGTTTTAAAAAAATAATCAATGTTAATTAAAACTGTGCTAACTTAGCGCACTCTGCTGATGCATTTGAAAACTAATTCAAATTCCAATTATGCTTCAGCATAATTCGGCATTGTGCGTCACTGAGTCGCATTATGCTCTGTAATTGGAAAATTACCGTAATCAGCACGAGTCGTGAGCTCAAAAGACTGGAGGGCCGTCTGCGCATCGTACACTTAGGGTACACAAATGGTTACCGGCTCATGCGGCTCTTCGAAGCCTGCCTCGAGTCGTGACAGTTTGCGAAGCAGTGGTAGACGGGCAGAACAACTGCTGAGGAAGGAGGGACTCAACTGCGGGGTACCGTCCCATCGTGTTGCTGGACGAAGTGGGAAAACAGCTCGAGCGGGTGGTGGGCCCATATCATCCAGCACCTCACGGGGGTGAGTCCCGATCTGTTAGCTAAGCTGTTCGGATTCCGGGAGGACCGCTCGATCATCGACGCGGTGATGGCCGGCTGTCGGCCGGGGCGGGGTAGCACCGGCGGTGTCCCTAGACATCGCCAACGCGTTCAACTCTCAGCCCCAGTCGGTGAACGCGGAGGCGTTAGAGTATCGCGGCGTCCCTACGTATCTCCGTCGGCTGATCGGGTCGTGTTGAGTGATGCACTGGTGTTCGAATCTCAGGCGGGTTCCAATTTTTCGAATGAAATACGTACTCAACAAATGTTCACGATTCAATAATCAACACCAGCCAGATGGTCAGATCTAGCAAGAGAAGCACTTGGTAGTAGTCTGTACCATGCAGTCCATGCTACCCATGATCGAGCACAGTGGAAGAATGTCACATGTAGGCGCGATCCTCAGTAGTGAGGGAACGATATAGAAGAAGAAGAAGGAATAACATCGTGTAATAAAAACGAAACCCGCAAAATTATAATTTGTGTAATTACTGGTGGTAGGACTTCTTGTGAGTCCGTGCGGATGGGTACCACTGCCCTGCCTATTTCTGCCGTGATGCAGTAATGCGTTTCGGTTTAAAGGTTGGGGCAGCCGTTGTAACTATATTTGAGACCTTAGAACTTATATCTTAAGGTGGGCGGCGCATTTACGCTGAAGATGTCTATGAACCACTTAACACCAGATGGGCTGTGAGCTACCCATCTAAGCAATAAAAAAACCTCGAAGACAGGTCGGTCGTGTGAACTGGGCACGGTGGGAATCAGCTTCCCCGTCGAGCGCGTTGTTCCAGAGTCAGTCTTTTGCCTTCTCTACGGGTGCGGGGCACCTCTCGCGCTCCTCTGCCGGGTCTGAGCGGTGTTTGTTACACGGACGGCTTTGGTCGTGGCCCGGGGGAAGGATTTGTGCAAGTCTACCCGTCTTTCCTGCGCGGAGTGACCTTCGTCATCGGCAGGATCCGAAGGCTAGGTTTGGAGGTGGCGCTCGATAAATCCTAGGCCCTGTTGTTTCACGGGGCCTGGAGAGTGCCACCTCTGGGGGCCCAGCTCGTGTTCGGAGGTGTCCGCGGTGACCCAGTGGGGTATCCCGGAAAACCAGCGGCATCGTCCGGGTGGGCTGGGGGGGCCGCCGTACCGTGGAAACTGGAGTCGTTGGTCGTCGACTATCGTCTCGACGACCCGTCGGCCGAGCGTGGTGCTGCGAGTCTAGTTGCAATGTTGATCGCGGGAACTTTCTTACTCTGACCCGGCTCTGACTCCGGCAGGAGATCGGACTTCGGGTGTAAGAGAGCAGAGGAGTCACTTAGTGCGGTAAAAATGTCCTTGGGCCCGCGGTCTGCTCCCAACGTCTGCAGATTTGATTGTGATTTAAAAATATATCAGTAATTTTATAAAAAAATTGCCCGGGATTTCGCTCATATAGTCAGAAATAACCGTCCGCTAACCGCTTACCATTTAATACTATTAATTTAATTAAATAAATTTAATACCGTATTAAGCGGTAGGCAGCGGCTTGGCTCTGCCCCTGGCATTGATGATGTTCATGAGCGATGGTAACCACTCACCATCGGGTGGGCCATATGCTCGTCTGCCGGGCAATAAAACACGGGCAATAAAAAACAATAATAATATTAATCTCCACAAGCCTCGTTTGAAGGAGGACATGTCATAGCGCTCGGAAAACACCGTGGAAGGGAGCTCATTCTAAAGCCGGATGGTACGTGGCAAAAAAGGAAACGCCCTGCGGAATACTGCGGATGAACGCAGTGGCTCCAGTTTGTATGGATAAACTCTATTACTATGGATTCACTAGAACTGTCATTAGAGGTCTGCACCTCTAGGACTAGAAGCAGGCATAAGGACCCTAGTAACCGTATTCGTCAAATTTGTGAAACTAAAAAGACCTCCGAAACATCAGGAATCCTTACCCTAATACCGGTCACTCACATTCGCACGAATACGCAAACCCGCAAGTGTAGGATGACATTTGCAAATGATTATGCAAAGTTTTCGCTATATTCGTGGTTTTCCAAGCTGTGTCGGTTTTTTAACAGATATCAAAGTGCGCAAACCGCGATCCTTCGCGTAGTCTCCCACACATTCGTGTGACCAGTTGTGCCCGGGATTGTGAAGGCAACGGACGTTTAGCTATTTTCATAGATCGTGCCGTCTACTGTGTAGCGTATCTTCATCAAAAGAAATCCCAGAAAAACAGCATGGCTGTTAATGATGTCTGGGAAAGAATTCAAAACTCTTTTTCTCTTCAATGTTCTATTGACGAATTGAAAAGGAGGAGAAATTCGTGAGACATTCGTAAACAAGTGTAGGAGGAAGCGCAAACGGGTTCGCAAATTGAGTACCGAACCCATTTGCACAGCCGCTAAGTTTGCGAATGAATGTTTGACGGCCTTTCACATGCGCGCAATCATTCGTACAATGTACGAATATTTGCGCGCATGTGAGTGACCGGCATTAGAGATTCGTACTTCGGAATCCATCCATGGAGTTTTTACGGACATTAGTTACTTGGTTTTTTAGCCAACATTCGGTTTGGTAAGAAATCTGATGTGATTGAGAGAGATCAAGGTAATTTATCAGAAAACCCAAAAAGAAATTTTTGGGATTTGCAATGAATACATTTTTGTTCGTGCATTAAGGCCAATATATTTCTTTCTTTCCTTCTTAAATCCAATGAAAATGAAAAGTCTACATGTATAAGTAATATTTGCTTAGCTTAATGATTCGCAAGTTTAAAGCATTTGAGAATTGTAGTAGTTTTATGGTATTTTAAAAGGGAAGCAAGCCCACATTTATAGGTCACCATTTACTACCATCACTACTATACCATTCAACATGTCAGAGTGCATCTAAAGTAGACCAGGTAATAAAAACCAGAAAATCGAGTAATTTTGGAACTCTTGTAAGTTTAATTTTCACTGCTGGTAACCTAAAATACAACTATCGCAATTTTTTGGCACGTCACAGCCGCGTCATCATGTCTCCGTGTCTCATTTTATCATTTAGTGTTTAATTTGTTGGCTGTTATCATACCATATCGACACATTTGTATGTGAACAATAAAAAAGTTGTAGTCTTAGTACTAAATAGGGAAAATGGAGATCCTGAAACAAGTGGCTAACGCACAGTTCGTGTTCACTGCTGCGGTGGTATCCGTTGTTTTAGTTTGTGCGGCGTTGGTATTTGTTTTTGGGTTCCGTTCTGCTGAACCGCCGCAATTCGACAAGTTGCCGCTAGTATTGGACGACAAGAAATCTGCCAAAGCCAAGAATAAAAAAAAGGAGAAGGTATTGTTTGATGGTCACTGATTCATGTCAATAACAGCTCATTTTATTTTTAACCCGTAACCATATGCTTCATTATCATGAGGACGTTGTCTGTCATTTAGCTTTTTTGTTCTCAGTGCGTATTTTGTAAATTCCATTTAAAGTTGTGATGTATATAATAAGCTAGTCCAGCCTTGACCTTGACTAATTAGTTGTAGTGATATGAGTATAAGTATATGGATTATTGTTTAAATATTACAGAAGTCTTCACCCAACCGATCTACATCTGATGATGTGAAGACCAAGGCTGATTCCTCCAAGAAATCTCCATCTAAGGAGAAAAAGGAGGAAAAAGTAAAGGAAGCTGACAAGCCTAAGCCTAAGGAAAAATCTGTTGAACCCAAGTTAGCTAAAAAAGAAGCAGTTATTGAAAAGAAAAATAGAAAGAATAAGGCTGGTGCAGAAGTTGAAAAACCTGCTGACTTTGATGATGGTAATTGGGAAGAGGTACCTAAAAAGAATGATAAGAAAGGAGAAAAAAAGAAAGTAAAGGCTCCAGAGGAAAAACAGAAGGAAAAAGAAAAGAAAAAAGAAAGTCCCATCAAGAAGGTTAAAAAAGCAAAAGATACAGATGTTGAAGCTGCTAGACCTAATGAAGATTCAAGTGAGAAAGTTAAAATTGTTAGTGTGAAAGGCCCTAACTTAGATGCGAATGTAACAAAAGCACTTCAAGAACAAGTGAAAGAATTTGAACGTGCAATGAAAGAGGTAGGAACATTGGAAAATTTGAATTGAGTTCTTTGGATTCTTATTGATTATCTTCAAAAACTCTAATTTTGTAGTATATATGAGTCGACTATTATCAAAGCCGGCAATGTGGCTTTTGGACAACTATTGGCAAATCAGAAAAACGAATTATTGACTTTGTATTCCATTGGCAGTCACAAAACTCTTCTGAATGACATCTTAGATAAATAACAGGTTAAGTATTAACCTTTATTTAATGCAGGTTTTGAACCATATTCTTTGAAGGAGACGATTATATTCAAATCAATCTGTATTGACATATCAATAACATTTTTTTGTCCAAATGCACAGATTGCCACCTTTGATAATAGACGACTCATATGTGTTATACTTTATCCAAATGTACAAATAAAATTTAATATATTTTGATTATCACAGTAGATCTGTAAAATGCTCCCAATGATTATACATTCAATGTCATTATCCCACATAATTGTGAAAATAAATTACATTATAATATTGATTAAAAAATAGGCTCAACGCCGAGACCAGGGCATTGTGAATGATGAAGGATCCAATGAAATTGAGGAGCTGACTGACGTTAAAGATCTCAGAAGCAATAAAAAAAAGGAAAATAAAGAGAAACAAATAAAGAAAAAGGCTGGTGAGGTATGGATTTTGGTTGTAATTCTTTATACATAAATATCAACAAATAAGAACGAAATATTTGGTCTGGTTAATTTAGTTATTTTAATTTTAATTCAGATCAAAGCAGATTCTGTAGAGAAGGAAAACTTGGAGCCTGAGAAACAGGAGGAAAATCAGAATGCACCAGCTTTTGATGAGCTTGGTGGTAAGTATTTCTTAAATTATTTGTAACATATCCTATTTTAAATTGATTTTCAAATAACAATAAATCACTCGAAACATTTAACTATTAGCGTGTATTCTCCTACAAAAAAGAAGACAAAGTTTTACTAAATGTTTGACGTTAGAAAACAGTTCTAAAAATGTTTTTCTAAATTTATCATACCAAAGATTCTGTTCCAATAGATACCTTTTATTATTTGTGTTTTCTGCAATCAGTATGATGTCCTATAAATAAGTTGATGTGCTTTGAGATGTGGCATTTTTTTACAGATACCTGGACTGAATCAAAAACATCCAAAAAAGGAAAAAAGAAAGCTCGCAAAGACCAGTGAAATGTGAGTTGTTTGAAGGAGTGCAGCCCAAACAGCTGCATCACATTGCTAGCTCAATGCCACTCACACACCTGATAAAATTATGATCTTTTTTATTATTCCATAAAAAGATTAAAGTTTTGAAATACAAGAATGAATGATGATGGTCTATTAGATGTTAAGTTATGATCTTTGTCAATTTATTTTTAATGACGGAAGAAGTGTTATTATTTAAATTAAGGGTTGTAGTTTTACAGGGTGTGAAATTTATTTATAAATAATATTTTATTATCTTAAATTTTTACATATATGGTAAAGTTCGTCCATGTTTTAAGTTTCATATTTTATTTTACCATTAGTTTGTTGACTTGTTTTCATAATAATTTAGCTATTGTTTTTTTTTCTTTCTATTGTGCATAATATAATTTTGTATGGGTCATAAATGCTGTTTTGCATAACTTAAAAAGTTGAATATTGGGAATCTGCAATATGTTGTGTTGTCATTTAAAATATTAGATTGTTCTGAATCTTAATAATACTGAAATCGATACTGTTTTCCTTTTTACATAAATGTTTTGAGGAACATAAATCCATAACGTTTACATAGTAAATTTCCTGGTGCTTGTAGAGATAAGTGGATGTCCTCTTTAATATCAATATTCTCATTATGACTAATCTTATTAAAAATTAAGTTACTGCTGCCAAACCTTAGTTTCATAAAGTAAATCTTTTACTTTCACCTTACTCTAAGTAGCGAGCATACAATAAAATAAATGTTACTTAGAAAAGCGGAATGCCATTCCAGTAAATAACTTGTACCTCTGTAGAAAATTATTGTCTAGCTGTTTTATTAGTATGAAAAGTGGGAGATTATTTATTATATTTTTGTGATTTCCATGACAAATATAAAAATTGTGATGAGACCTGATTTGGACCAAATGAATGTGGTTACGTCAACACTAACAATCTTTTTAAAACTAGGGATCATTTAATTTTCATCATTAATTGAAATAGCCAGTAGCATTTCTTGCAAAAGATTAAAAATTGTTCATTTTCCGTCCGAAAGCATCATGTAGACTTCTATTTATTACAGAATGATATTAGAAAATAATAATCTAGGGTCTTGTTTTTATCTTACAAAAAAATAAAGAAAGTGCATAATCAATAGGTATATCATTATTAGAGAAATAAATTTCAACGAATTTAAACTGCTAAATTAGATTTTTATTGCAGATTCCTATTTTGTGACATAGGTTTAAGCATCAAATGTAGCATTAAGTAGTGAGAAAAACATTCTAAATAATGCATAAATGAAGTAGGTAATTAATAATATTATATGACTATGAATATTATGTATGTTGGAGTTCAATGTTGTAATTTTACTACTTTTACTTGTAACTAAAGCTGACTGCTATAGATACATAGAGAATAAACATATTTTTACTACTTATCTTATTCAAATAAACATATTTTTATGGCTTTAATTGTTGAATTGCACTGACATCTAAGTGGAGCCAGAAACAATGTAAATTAAAATTTTATTCCAGTCATTTAGTCTGTAACCATATCTAATTTTGATTAAAAATACCTCAAGATCTTTATCTTAAAAAAATATCATTGTCGTACAGAATTAAGCAGATATTGCTTTGTTTGTCTACAATTGGATGCCTTAAATCACAAGTGTAGCTATAGAATAGGAGTTTCTTGATAGTTAAATTCTACTATTAAGTTAATAACGCTACATCTAACATACATACCTTGATTTAACAAAATGTTCGACGGTTTCTAGTGCCCAGTTTCCATATTGTAAATTCAGTCTAGTGAGAGCAAATTGTAAATATATTTATATTTTTGAGTATAAAGAATAAAACTATTCAAGTTACAAGTCTTATATTTCGGTACTAAATGCAAACATTTTGATATGAATCCTTACAGACGAACTTAATGTATTTAGATTACAAAGATATTATTGCTTAATGTACATTAAGTAATTAAAATAATGAATGGTTGAGTGTGGTTAGTGTGAGTTTCTTAACGTTCTCGATAGCGTAAAAGTTAACCCAATTTTGTATGCAGTTGGAACAGCGCCCCTAGCGGCAAACGTAGGCAAACGATCGCATTCCATACAAATATGAGCTAACTTTTACGCTATCGAGAACGTTCAAAACTCGCACTAAGCACACTGGTCGGCCTAGTATGCAGTAAGTCCTGTGGATGTAACGAAATTGCGAAACTCTTAAAATTGTTGTTGTTATAGGCTCGAAAATTGTATAACATGAATATTTTTTTAAAAATAAATGAGTGATATTGATCTATCTGTTTATCTGACGTGACATGAGAGTTTTTAGGTAATCGATTTTAACAACAATTTAAAAACCGTTGGCGTTTTTATCTTTCTTATTTCAACTTTTTCCTTTAAGCAGTAGTTTTAGATTGATGTATGTCAATCTAATTGTTGACAACCGTATACTCCGCCTGTTAGCTAGCGTTCCAGTTTTCCCATATTTTGTCTTCTTACTGGATTGATCATAAATTAACCGAGTATTGATTATTATCGAAATACTAAACTAGTAGTAATGTCATGTTTCTATATTATACGCACAAGGCTAGCGGAATCAATTCGTTTTTTTTTCGACCTAAGCAGTGTCTTAGTGCGAGCTTTTTAACGTTCTCGATAGCGTAAAAGTTAACCCAATTTAGTACCTATGCAGTTGGAACAGCGCCCCTAGCGGCAAACGTAGGCAAACGATCCCATTCCATACAATAATGAGCTAACTTTTACTCTATCGAGAACGTTTAAAAAACTCGCTCTAAGCACACTGATGTTTACACTCTAGAGAGAACATATCAGCGTCACCGGCCTAAATTCGGGTAAAATATACGCTATGGGGATTGTGTTCACAGCCACTAAGGATTTGGTTCGTAAAAATTAAAATACAAAAAACACGTTTCATACATTTTTTATTTGATTGTAAAAAAAATTAAGAATGTGAAAGAGTATAAAAATTGAGATTCTTATAAGTATCATAATTACTAAAGTAGTTTATTTACGTACCTAGCTATAATAAATTACTTGACTAGTAGTAGGTAAGCGAAGTACGACAATTGAAAAATGAGTAGGTTGATCAGTTATAAATAATTTTATCTCTAAAAGCTGATATGAGAAGTTTTGTTTTAAACGTATTGTTTTAAAGCAGCATATGCGGATTTAATATTGATCAAATATCATGCTTAGATTGAATAAATATTAGAGCACGTTAAAGTTCAGAATCGCTTCTAGCTCCAGATTTGTTTACGAGTTTAGATTTCGTCAGTACCGGTGCGGCACTTTTGCTTCGAGGTTTACGTTTCGCGCGGCGTCGTAACCGGCGTAGCTTGCCCGCGCCCTGTGTTGGTGCGACCTGTACTCTTGATGTTTTTGTTTCAACTTCCACTTTTAAACGTGCAAACATATCGTAGTTGGTTATAGCGCACATTTTCCCTAAAAAAATATATACATATATCAAAAATCGATCAATGCGAGCAAGTGATTGGGACGCTAGACGAAGTCGCAATTATATAACGGTTGTTCTACAATTTAAATTAGAAAACATTACCATTTTTTCCTACCTATCCATTTGTTTTTTTTTTATTGCTTAGATGGGTGGACCAGCTCACAGCCCACCTGGTGTTAAGTGGTTACTGGAGCCCATAGACATCTACAACGTAAATGCGTCAACCACCTTGAGATATAAGTTCTAAGATCTCAGTATAGTTACAACGGCTGCCCTACCCTTCAGACAGAAACGAAGATTACTGCTTCACAGCAGAAATAGGCAGGGTGGTGGTACCTACCCCCGCGGACTCACAAGAGGTCCTACCACCAGTAAAGAAGCCTTGAGCGTTGAGAGGCTATATCAGTGTTACCCTAGCGTGTAGATGAGCTGGGGCTCAAACCAGAGGTGTTGCTAACATTGGCCTTAGCAATAGGAGTGCTTCGCAGAATCTACCAAAGGATCGGAAACGTGACCCACTGAGAAAATCCGGCGAGAAACTCAGTGGGCTGTGTCTTTACTTTTCCGTCTATGAATTTTTGGCATTTCTAAAATTTTGCCACCCCTCAAAATATGCCGCCCTAGGCCCAGGCCTCACGGGCCTAGACGTAAATCCATAACTAGGCTCACCTAAATAAGTCGTTACCGGATCCTACACACACAACGTGAATTTCAATTTTAAAAACTAATATATTACTCTATTTCTGCCGGAAATAAGTAGTGACGATCCATTAACGGTGCTTTTAAGTACCTCTAGCACCGGCCACCGCCCTTACCGAACCCGTCACTTGCGACGAAGGGCTCGGCTATTAAATTAATCCATAGACACAGCCCACTGAGTTTCTCGCCGGATTTTCTCAGTGGGTCACGTTTCCGATCCTTTGGTAGATTCTGCGAAGCACTCCTATTGCTAAGGCTAATGTTAGCAACACCTCTGGTTTGAGCCCCAGCTCACCTACACGCTAGGGTAACACTTAATGAAATGCATTCTAATATAAAGGGCGGCGTGATAAACAGGGCCTAGGGCAGCATCAAGCCTAAATCCATCACTAGTTCGTCGGCTCGTCCATCTATTTGTTAAATAACGGCTAATTTTAAGCTATTAACTAATTATTAAGAAAAGTGTTGTCATACAAATAAAACTCTAATAAAATAAAAAGGATGATCGTACAAGTTTGATGTTACAACATATTTGACAACAAACTTGATGTTGACAGCTTGTGAAGAAAGCCTCACCGTTGCAATACTCTTCACCACATTCAGGACAGGACAGGATTCTGGTTTCAGTCACTCCAGAACGATTTTTTGTTTTTCTGATCATAGTGTTTTTAGCATACTCTCTTTTATCTCTTGCTTTTGTCCTTAATTCAGACTTGCCTAATTCAATCAGTCTAAAATAATAGAATTATTTTCAATTTTTTATTAAACAACAGTATATAGGCAGTTAGGTACATTTACCTATGTAACGTTACATTTATATGAAATGTAATGACAATACTAATAAACGAAATAGCGGAATTACATGCTCACGAACGACTTCCAGGATGTTAGGAATAATAACATTTACTTGATAAAAATCGAGAATTACTGGTGGTAGGGCGATTTGTACGCCCGCATGATTTGGGGCCATGTCTATCGTTAATGTCTGCCATAAAGTAGCCATGCCTTCTCTTTGAAGGTTTGGAAATCTGTAATATAATTGAACACACGAGTGTATGAAGGGTTAAGAACAATTTTTAAGATTTTTGAGTTTTTACAGTGATTGAAGGTGTTATGTGCCTATAAACTGTATTAGACCTCAAAACTCTGGGTTTAAAGGCTATTTTTAGAAATTGCATGTGATGAAGGAGTTAAGTACGAAGAAAAAGTACAAGTAACAAAAGTTTGTTGCCTGTTTTCTGAAAATTAACAAATTGTATCATGTCCCATCCACTCATGTCTTCAATTAAGTTCAGATTTCGACCTCGTGGCTGATGGCAGTTGGGAGACATTCAGGTTGTGATGTCTAAGGGCTTTGTTAACTACTAAGCAGCGCGTCGGTTTTGCACTCGTCCATCCATCTAATGAATAAAAACCCACCTATTAAAATATTCTTCGTCTAATTTAGATTTAGGTCTTGTAGAGGTTAACATTCTCCATTCAATTGGCACAGCACACAGCTCCTCAAATTTCAATGCCTTCATTTCGACCGGTATGGGATCCATAAACGTGAAATGTTTTTCTTCATAGCCTCTTGTTCCTAATTTTTCGTACGCCCTTATTTCTTTTCTTGGCGTTTTCGTTTTTTGATCCTCAACTTTATCTTTAATTTTTATGTCCTCAGCTTTTACCTAATTAATTTCACAACACACTTTATCAAATTACGTATATCAAATGTTTTACTAAGCCTAATTGTTAGTGGATAATATATCAATATAGAATACCTTTTCTGGTCTAGTTTTGAAATCCGGAACTTTATCAAGAACGGCTCTGTATTCTTCAGCGGTATTTATAACAGTTTTCGACAAGTCCAGCATCGGTGCTTCATCCTTCTTCTTATCAAACAAATCGTCTATTAATTTTGACATCATGTATACTCGTAATTATCTTAAACTTACTTTTAAAACAAGTTTTTGTTTTTAATATTTGGAACGAAAACAATCACTCCAAACGCTAATATTTCATTATTGATCCAACATTCCAGTTTGTTTCTTAGAAACGGTTGAATCGATAGCGATATAAATAAAGATATATATTTATGATTGCATGGATAACTCAATAAGTTAATTTTAAACTACACCACTAGTATTAAATTATGCTATTTTATACTTAGTCGATGATTTAAAATTTTGCATTTACGACATAGTTTTCTTGTTCTTCGTTCCTTTCTAAGAAATGTCGTTTTGCATTATTTATTTGGTCTATAATTCTTTTTCTGTTTTCGGTATTAAATAGGTTAGACTTCGCATTTCTATCGTCAATATCCTCAACCCACAATTTTCTATTACCATACTTGTCATTTATAAATTTTTGTGATAAAGTTAATCTTTTTGTTGGTGATATTTTAGGAGATTTTTTACTCTCAGATAATTCATTTGCAGTTATTTGATCTATTTGATTGTATTCTAATTGCAAATTGCTCATTGACTCCATCGTGTTGCTTTTTGTTGATTCTTGTGTTCTCTTGTTTCTCCAGTATGATTGACTTAAAGAGAATCGCTTGTTACTATTGATTAAGTTTTTATCAGATCTGTTTGGGGGACTCGGTGAACGGCTATCTTCACTGGATTGTGATAAATATTGCCTTAGTTGAGGCCTGTATTTCTGGCGAACCTTTCTCTTTTGGCTGTAAAATGGATCCTTTTCGCTTTGTTTTTTGTACTGAGCCGCGGGCCTATTCACGCCCCACTTTGGGCGACTATCTAATTCTTTTTTGTATCTTTCTTCTGAACGAAATCTTCGATCTTTTTTCAATGTACTTTGGTGACTGTCTTGTGGTGCGTTTTCGTCAATGTTAGCATAGTCTTTATCTATATTTCTTTCAAGATCATCCAGTGTCACCATCGTCTCTGATGTACATCGAAATACACTCGCTTCGGTTTGGGTGCACGCATCTTTTTTGATTAAGCGATATTTATTTGGTGTTAAGACTTTATGAGCCTCAGATAAATCATTTATATTTGTTATTGGCATACCGTAAATATTTTGAGCTAAGTTGTGTGGCACTAAAACAGCTAATTGTATACCATTTGTTTGTGTTCCAATTAGGTCCGAACAGCTATTAATGGCTATCGGCACTATATTGAATTGATTTTCGGATAAAGCTAGAGGAGGAGGCATATTATGTATGAATAAGTTGAAGTTTCCTGGAGCAGCCGACCTTGGAGAGTTGAATCCCGAGGCTTGATGAGAAGCACAATCTCTTTTTGGGCTTTTGGTTGATTGCGCGTCGTATGTTCTATTAGTTCTAGAAGGGCTTATTGGCTCAGCTGTACATTGAGATGGTGTTTCAGCAGTTGTTGCCTCTATACAGTTATCTTTTTTTTCACTATCGGCATTTATACTAAACGTTTTCCTTATATTAGTAAACCTTTTTTCTTTTTCTTGCTTAGCCTTCTTTTCGGCGTCATCGAGAGCTTTCTTTAAAGCTTCAAGCTTTTTTTGCTCCATTAATTGTTTTTCTTCGTGTCTCCTTTTTTCTTCCTCTAGTCTATTTCGATCTTGTTCTTGCTGCCTGAGCATTCGCAACTCCTCTAATTTTTCTTCTTTAAGTTTCCTCTCTTTTTCTTCTTGGCGACATTTTTCTCTTTCTTCTAACTGGTTCAAAATAGCTGTTTGTAGTTCTAAAGCTTTGATGCGTTTGCTTTCACGCTGAGCTTTAACTTCAGGTTCTAAAGGAACGTTTTGTCCTCTCAAAAAAGTTCTGAAATTAACGATATATTATATTATACATACATATGTAGATAGAACATACACACAAAATACGAACGCTGTGCTTTGTTACCTATTGAAAAAATATCTACCTTCCCTCATCGCTGCCATGACATGATGATCTATCACAGTCAAGTCCTGTGCTATTACTTGAACTTCTTTGATCTATAATAAGTACTTCAGACGAATTTTCAATCATGTTCAAACCTCGTTCGACCCATGACGGAGTTCCTTTCTTTTGATTGGGCATCTGCGTGAATAAACAAAATTATGAACTAACCTTAGCTATGTGTTGTTTCAAATGTAAAAAATATAGTTAAATTAAAATGCAAAATAATATTCTTCGCATGTTGCTTTTCTTTTTAAATCTTATGATAAGGCTCTTTATATAAAATAGGTGTCTTTAAATAAATTGCATATAGAAATAACAAAGAATGTCAGAAAATCTTAGCCGTTCTAACTTGTGGTAACCGAGCGTTTGGCGCAGTTGGTTCCCAAAGTCGTCCTGTGGCGACACCGCGGTCTCCCCATCGCAGACGGCCTTCTTCTGCAGTCCTCGGACTACGAGCTGACCACGGTGTCTCATTTGTACCTGGTCCGGTACTTGATGTTTTCTTCCTAAAATTGAATGTTTTTATTGCAGCTTATTTCGGGATATTATAACACTTACTACACAAAGTATTAATGTTTGGGCCCCAGTTCGTTACTTCGATTTATTAAAATAATTTTAGTACTTAATCTATCTAAGCCGTATTGAAATTATAAAATCACGGAGGAGGGTGGAAATTAATCGTCTATTTACTAAGTTATGAAGGTAGTTAATAAAACAAATGTGAATACATAGTAAATAGCCAAAAGTTTCATATTGTTAACAGTTACTGGGATACCTACCTGTCGTCGTTATTCGTTTGTTGCCAGGCTACAACAGGATTTCGGTTTATATCATGTACCGCATCGTTATTATTCCTATTCATGTGGTTTATAGTTTCGCTCCCATATCCTGAAGTATCTCCTTCGCCATCTTCGTCATAAAACGAAAATCTCTTAGCACTCGGAATGTTGCGATTAAGAATGTTTATTTTTTTTTCATCTTTCAATTTTTTCTCATCGTCGATGTGATGTATTGGAGGTAGACTTGGACTTCTTTGTCGTTGAACTGGTTCAGGATATTCGTATGAAGATTGTTTGTGTAATTCTAATGTGCTTGCGAATTGATTACGGACTTGCAATCGATTCGTATATCTTTCACCTGAGCCCCAGGGCAGGTAAAGATGTGACATTTCCTCTGAAATAAAAACAAAATACATAAAATAGTTTTGATATCTCAGAAAAGAATTGATTTGGAATATAGCCGACGACGTTAGACGACAAGTACCTTCCATAACAACGGTCGTAGACAGATTGATCTTAATCAATATGTCCCGTACAATAAAATCATATGCTCCTTTGTAGGCAAGGGCTTTTTTTTAAGTTTTATCAATAATTCTTGCGGGGAAATGTTTTAAGAACGCGATACACGTCATTGTGTATTTTACTGTTTTATTTTTATGTTACTCAGAATAAATTCTTTTTTGTTTTTAGAATATTGCGAAGCGGTGCTAATAAAACAACTATATTCTGTGCTTTCACTCTTTATTGAATTCATTTTTATGTTGTTTTTTGCCCTGTTCAGAATAAAAATAGTCTTTTATATTATTAATGTTCGTATCAAACAAGCAAAAAATGTTAGAAGTTTCACGTGCGAAATTTTTCTTGAGTTTAATGATTTCTATCGTGCGTTTTATAATAAGTGTTCATTCTCAACATACTACTTAATTTTGGTATTAAAGCCTTAAATATATAACTAAATCTGAAAAGGTCAGAAGATCTGGATAATAGCCTAATGTTATTAAATAAGCCGTTCGGGTTCACGTTCGTATGCACGATTTCGGCCACGTCATATTAGTTTTACTATTTCTCTAACACAGATAAAGAATACTTACGTCCTTAGTGCATTTAATTTCTGAATTACACTTTTCATCACATTTTTATGCTGAGCATGATTTGGTATCCGGACTTTTCAACCGTTATCTACTAATAAACAAACATATTTGGGGACACTGTTAACTGAAAGCCCATTGTTAGCATCTAGTAAATACTCTGAACGTACTTTAAGTTTCTTTACTAATCCATCTTGAGCCCTCTACAGGGTGTATTGAAATGGTTTCTGATAGCGCAAATAGATGATAAAGCCAGTGAAGTTATATAGCTATAGAGGAGTGTGTTTCAGTTTATGTTGGGATAGTAGGTACTTTATTGTCATTTCAGTAAGAAGTATGTATTATAACAAGTAGGTAGGGAAGTAAGCAAAATTTTAAAATAACTGAATGTGTCGCAATTCGGCGTTTTATCGTTTATATTGTTTGCTAGAAGTTGTGTACTTGGTTGTGATTGTTGAGAATGACTGAACAATTAGGCCGTTGAACATGACTATATTGAATTTCTAGCAGAGTGAAATACTAAAACTTTGCAGCATTGAAAGGGAAACATTTTTTGTTTTATCATTATTCTAGTCTATCTAGAAACTACTAGCTTGTAATGGTACCCTTCGGGTCATTTGGGTCGCGGCGCTGGTCTCATCTATATACTTATACATATATAAATCTACAGTGGTTTTTACGGATGTTCCGTTACAATTACTGAATCATACATCCGATTGACTTGAAACTTGGTATCCATGTAGAAAATACACGTACTTAATGGATAGGCTAATATTTATATGGGTGTTGGACTCCCTAATAATAATGACAATAAATAATAATGTTAATTTTAAATGCGCAGCGAAGCGGGCGAGTACGGCTAGTCTAATATATGTCATGTGGACTGTGGAGCAAGGTTGAATAATGTAAGTTCTTTAAGGACATTTTTTTTCTAACTTATCTGATGGTCTTGAGTGACCATTTCAGCGTAGCCTCGACCAGATGAGCTCACGGGGCTCAAACCTGATTAAGGATACTGATGTTTTAACTCAGAGTACTGTATAAAATTTGCGTAATAAGTTTTAAGTATTCAATAAATAAGTTTTTTTATGTTTTTACTTCATTGCTGGTAGCCTAAAGGGCTTCTTCAGCTACACGGGACGAGTAGGTGAGCTCATGAGTTCAACCTGAGAGAATTTACTAACAATGCTAGCAGGAGCAGTACCTAGCTGAATCTACCTTCGGATCGGAATCGCGCCCCGCTGAGAAGATCCGGCGAGAAACTCGGAGGGTTGTGTCTATAAGCTAGGTTGTTTGTCTAACTGTTACCGGTGCTTGGTGAACTTAAAACCGATCCGTGGATCGGAAAGTAGTAGTTTGTAGTGTCTATACCCCAAATAGTTTGCAGTCAGCTTGTCTGTCTATCTAAATGTTATACACAATATAAATAGAATGCACCCTACATTAGTAAAATTTTATAATCCTGGTTTCATCCACAAATGAGACCCAAAAAAAGAGTTTGTACTCATTTGTGTACGAAATCAGAATCGGAAAGCTACTAGAATGACGCGACACGATAACTTTCTTATCGTGCCCGCCGCCAACTAAACCCTTGACCCGGGTCACGTCCTTATCCACAAGATTCACTGTCTGTGCATGTTACTAGTAGGTGCTACTAATACACTCACACAATTATTAGACGCCTGCACCTCTCAACATAGGTAGGGGTTTTCACATGATAAAAAAACGAGTGCGGGGCGGCCTCCTAGTTTAATGATATGTGTACATATGTATATCTGAGTTAAATATATGTCCTCCTGACATGCTTCTTGCCGAATATCATGATTTTATTCATCTTTATTGAGTTGAGTGAGAAAATTTATAAGTCTGCCTTTTTTTCGCCATAAACCAGTATTTAGTACAAATTCCTGTACCCGTCGTTGAGAAAAAACGGTCGGAAGTCTTTTTTAATACTTAAACGGGACCTGGTGTTAAGTGGTTACCGAAGCCTAGTGTGCTGCGATCTGCCTTATGACATGTTTTATATCGCGGCAGAAAAGGCAGTTGGTGGTATGTAGCCGTGCGGGCTCACAAGACCCCCTACCACCAGTAATTATAATTTAGTGCAAATTATAATTCGGACAGACAGACACAAACCGATAACAAAGTGACAAAGGGTTTCTTTTTTTCCTTTTAAGTGTCAGAAACCTGAAGAGTTGACATGTTTGTATACTTATTATAATATAAATAAATAAAAGTAATTTAAGTTATTGCGAAATAAAAATGCAACTCGGACTGTAACGGATATGTTTCAAATAAAGAGATTGTCCGGTTGTTACACAGTTGAAAACAATTCTAAACAAATAACTTCAATGGAAGTGTCCGTCTTGATTTAGATTTTTAAAAATTTTTTTCTAATGTCCCAAGAATATTTGCTAAATCGAACACGCATTTTTTTATTTTATCTCTCTGTTTGTTTGTTCAAGCTTAGGTCCAAAATGACATGACAACCGATTCAGATGGTATGTTTGAAGGGAGATAACTTCTGTTGTCGACTACCTTTTCTCGAACCGAAACAAAATGAAAACTGCACAAAGGGATAACTCGTATATATTACAAGCTAATTGCGACGCTTATCAATCATCATCATCATAGTCGGTTTCTCTTGGCAGAACAGTCGCGGTCATCTGGAATTCGTGTTTATTAAAGCCTTGACAGCTTATCAATCATACGTTGGTAATTTTTTTTAGATCAATACAGACTATTTCATTCTGACAAAACGCAGATGATAATGTTTGCCCACTGAGTTTCTTGCCGGAAAAACCCTCCTCTCAGTGGGTCGCGTTTCCGATCCGGTGGTAGATTCTTTGAAGCACGGCTCTTGGTAGCGTTCGTGTTAGCAACATCGTCAGGTTTGAGCCACGTGAGCTCACCTACTAGCCCGGTGACGTTGACATGGTCTCTCTAGACCATCAGCTTAGGTAGGAAAAAAAAAGTTAATGTTCAACTAGTAACTTTTACTGGTGGCAGGACTTCTTGTGAGTCCGCGCGGGTAGGTACCACTACCCCGCCTATTTCAGCCGTGAAGCAGTAGTGCGTTTCGGATTGAAAAGTGGGGCAGCCGTTGTAACTATACTTGAGACCTTAGAACTTATATCTCAAGGTGGGTGGCGCATTTACGTTGTAGATGTCTGTGGGCTCCCGTAGCCGCGTAGCACCAGGTGGGCTGTGAGCTCGTCCACCCATAGATTTAAGCAATAAAAAAAAGTATGTTTTACATTTATTTTTATAACAAATTTCCACCGGGCACATCTAGTTTAATTATGAATTAGAAATATTATCGCGTAAAGTAAGCAGCAGCAGTGGTTAGTTTGGTTACGCTCTCGTGCGCGCAATCACACAGCTCTAAAATAACGAGTGAACGTAGTAGCTGTATTATTTAATGTTGCGATAACTTACCTATTTAATGCGTAACGTAACCTGTAATTATGGGGTTTAATTATCAACAGACATGGAATCGAGAATTAGAATTGATATATAGAAGATATAGACAGACGATAACAAGACCCTGCAGATATATAAACGCGTGATCGCCCATTTTGAGACATGAAATTGAAGTCATAACTGCTACGATAATCCTAATTCACGCGTTTCCGATCCGGTGGTAGATTGTGCGAAGCACTGCTCTTGCTAGGGCCAGTGTTAGCAACACACCCGGTTTGAGCCCCGTGAGTTCGCCTACACGTCAAGGAGAAGCTGATATAGCCTCTCAAGGCTATCAGCATAGGTAGGGATAAAAAAACTAATTTTCGAATCGGAACGTGCAACTGCTTTGCGGCAGAATAAATGGCTGTACGTTTGCACTCGAGCGGGTTACTAAGATGTATTGTCACCGTCTGTTATAGAAGCTAGAGGAGGCCAAGTCTTACCTAACCGTAACTGCCGATTAACTGTCGGACGGACTCTTGTTAAGTTCCTCTAATCTAAAGCATACCAATAAATAAAAAAAATATTGCCCTTTTAGGCAGACGAGTATACGGCCCACCTGATGGTGAGTGGTTACCGTCGCCCATGGACTTCAGCAATGCCAGGGGCAGTGCCAAGCCGCTGCGTACCGCAAAAACTGCATATAATGTACAAATGTAGATAGCTCTCTTATACTTCAAGAAGTAAGCGAAGTAAAATCTGAATCACGAAGGTATTTTAGAACTTAAATACCTACTCAAGTTTCATGTACTTATCTGTTGGTAATAATTCAATCACATACATACACGTGAAATTCGACCATAATCACAGATACCTCAAGATTTAAATTCATTTTAGGTACTTTCTTGCCTTGCTTTTAGGAGCTATGTAATAAATAAGAAAAATCGGTTGACATAGTGAATATAATATATAAAAGTAGTTAGTAGTTACAGCTTACAGTCGCTGTGTCCTCAAATATCATAAAGTTGATATTATACCATGAATATTGTGAAAATTTGATAAAAGATTTAGCACTTGGCGTACCTACTACTAAAAATATTCGTGCTACCTGTTTTGTACAAATTGGAATTCCAATAAAAGTTCGGAGCGTTAATGTAATGTCGTCATGACAACATATGCCGGTCTGCCGGTCATACCCATGAATGTTATTTGGAAATCCATTAAGGACAAGGGTCGTTATATTCGTTTCACGCCCTTGAGAGTTTTTTGACCATTCATAGACATTTACATTTGTTAGTTCCGAAAGGCTTTGTAAGGCTTCTAACTAACAATTATTTATTGTTCTTTTGTTTATTATCGATAAAAGTGAAAGAGGAAACTGTAACGGTTGATTTGTTAGATTTCATTTGTCTTTGAATTGTGACGGGACTGTTTTTTTTAATCGCGTCAATTACATAGAAATCTACAAAACTCAAAAAAAAATTAGTGCTAGATAGATTTCTACAGCACTTTATATAATAATATTCTTCTTTTCTTTATTGCAATTTTTTCTTTTTCTCTACAAGAATGGATAATACTTAGCTTAAGTACCCTACTACAAGAGACTCGTGCCGAAAATCGACACGCAGATTCCGGAGAGATAACAGAATGACTGCGGCCGCTCTGGTGATGTCCAAGAATAATAATATAAGTATCAATGTTGTAATTTGCAGGCTAATGTCAGCCCTCCTCGCGAATTGCATTTGCAAATCAGGATAGGAAGTAACGGGAGGGTTAAGTTAATTAATATGGTATTATTATGATTTTTAGGTACGAATGGATGGTGGGCAAGTAGTAACTTGTGGTGGTTAGGGTTGCATTCCCGTATCTTCTTATTAGCGTCGGTTCACCGGAATGCAAAACATAAGACAGTTTTGTGTATACATATTTCCGTGGCTTAATATTCTCTGGCTATCGATGTCACGGTTCATGATCGAAAAATTTCTTAATCCCTGTTCTGTTCTAATGTCCAGTAAGCAGTGAAAGTATAAGTTTTAATTAGTTTTCACAGTTGCGAGCGGTTGGTAATTACGTTTAAAGGTATGTGGAGATTTTTTAAATTAAATTACGAATAAATCAAGAAAGTGAAATTGTGTCCCTACTTAAAACATTTTATCATTAAGTACTTATACCATTATGTTATGTATAATTCATTTATTAACCGATTTTAAATAAAACTTAGGAGAGTTCATTTTAAGCGGACAGTTTGATTGTCGAACGTTTGACAGTTAATTGTGGATATCGATTGGTGAAATAATAATAGCTCATTAAGACATTAGTCAAATGAGTCCAAGTCTATTGTGTTTTTCTTCGAATTAGAAAATACCCGCTTTGAGATGTTATTCATGCTAGATGAACATGAGTTTGGAGATTGAAAAAAAAATTTAAAACAAGAACGTACTATGGAATAAGTGTTTATTGATAAATGTTGGCCCTGAAAACCAAGTACTTTTTTATTGTGGACATATAAAGGAAGGGGATAGTTACTGAAACCGAAAGCAATATAAGGTACTGCGTTAAATTAAAGTAAAAATAAAATTAATTTACTAGGTTATTCACATTTGCTGTTGCCAGGGCAGATGCTAGCAGAGTCTCCTAGGCTGAGCCTCGTGAGCTCGCCTATGCGTTCGGAATCGCTAGCATAGCCCTCCGATATTGCACTAGTAATAGGTAAGCGAAAAGAAAATACGCTAGGTACGTTTATATTTCGTGAAAATCCAATGGAAAGAAAAGGCTTACACCGGGCAAGAGTACGTCACACGCGTTTCCGGCATTTTTGATGAACAGAGAAACTTTTTTTCGAATTTTCGTATGTTATGGATACAATAGACTAATATAAAATATTTTAATGCGCATACATAGGTTTGGTTGGCATCGAAAACGACAACAGAATGTTGGTGTCAGTCATTCTCAACACGATACCAGAAAAAAAAGACATAATGAAAAATAAACTATTTTACTTAGGAATGTTTATTTAAATGTAACATAATTAAAAAACAACTGATGTGCGGAACCTACGACCTCGACGTAACGTGGGCCGGCTAGGCTGCCAGGGTTATATTACGGTTCACGGAAAATGAACTTATTAAAAGGACAAATAAGCATAAATGTTTTTTGGGCTACTAGCATATTCTTGTTGCGACTTTAGTAGTTTAGTCCCTACACTATCTAATTTTGTATTATGAATTAAATGAACGCTATTAAAAGCTATTATTACATTTTGGAACGCAACCCTTTTTCGGTCACTTCTGAGTACAGTCGTAGATGACGAGCATTAATTAGTTAATATTTTTTTTTACTTTAAACCATTTAGAATAGAAAACATTAAGGCCTTTAAGATTAAGGTGACCCATACTTACTGACCGCGTTTTTTAATTACATGGCGTGCTGATGGTACATAAATGTAACCAAATTCGTACTAGTTTTAATGATTACTCACGCATTAGAGACCGTGTTGGTTCCACTTGCATGACACTAAGCTATTTAACGAACTTATCTCCGAAAGTGGGATTGAGACAAATATTATTGGAATCAGATCGTTGAACGCTTCATTGGATTAGTGGTTAGTGACCCTAACACTGTACAACTGAATGTGGATTCAATTACCGGTTGTAATCAGTATATTAATACGCTTTTATTAGTTTGACTTTTATTTTTATTTATTTATTTATATACACACAAAAAACAAGACATAGTACAGAGTAATAGGAAAATTATGTACAAAGGCACTTATCTATTTCTGTAATGGAATCTTAAACGTTAATTTTCACGAAATTCATCACGTTCATCTAATTAACTTTGTTTTGGTTTTTACACTATTACCTAACATTTATTTTATTTTGATATTTGGTACTCTAAGTATACATACATTATAAAATCATAGTCGAAGGCGGTTGGTTGTCGATCGTTCGTTTTTTATTTGTTTGTTTCACATTTGTCTCATTAAAAAATAAATAACACTATTTAAAAAAAAACCAGCTAAAATCGTACATACCGTTTTTCTAATTTAAAATTTTCAATGTCCTTGGAAGTATGCGAGATGTGCAGAAGTGTGATTTATTTCTCGACGAAACAAAAAAGGGTTTTTGGACAAAATATTTGAAGCCAAGTTATTGTCCGTCAGCTTGCGTCCCTAGAACCCTGCTACTAACACGATCACGGACTACACGCAACACGCAGAAGGTACACACCTTTTTCCCGCGCCCACTGTTGCTTCTTCTGTTCGACTAACGACGTCGGTTTGCTTACTGACAGCATCGCACAGCACTATACATTACACTTTCTAACGTCTCGTATTGCACACACATTGCGTTTCTTCCAAGCGCAGTTCAGTCACGGTGCACCGGCTAATGAGTACTTCGTAGTGTTTTTAAAAATGGACGTTTGCGCGCTACCGGCTACCCGTTTCGGTTCGCTTCGCATGTGCACTCATTGTCCACGATTGCTGGACCATCACCTCCGCGACTCTATTACCACAATAATAATCGATTATGTATTCAAACTAACGGAATTCAAGCATATCAGTAAGTCGTGTAATCACACACTTTGACGCGCAACGTAACTCAGAGGCGAATAGTCCAACAATTGCAACAGTGGTCTAGACTTCTTCGGTGGTCCGTTTCAGTCAACGTCACGCGAATATTTCAGGGGAAAGCGCCGGAAAAGCCGCCGGTCGATACTGTAGTCATAGTAACGTTTGTTTCACATGTTTGCAAGAAAGCAGAGGCGTCGTAAGGAGTGATCGAAATTACTGTTATTTCAGATATCCCACATTCTTTGAAGTTTTTGTAGGTAATCAACGGTTACATAAATTAGAGAAGTTATTGATTTTTTAGCTATATTCACAATGAAGTTTGGTTTGGCTTGCAAAATGGTGAAGACAACGTGTTACCGACAAACAAAAGACCGTACTGCGTCTCTGCTTCTTTTACAACGAAGCGTGTATTTTTTATTTTGTGACTATTTGCATTTTAGGGCACTGGGTAACGTCAAAATTCTCACGTGATACCATTAATACCCTGCAAGTTAATGCTGTTGGTACCATCAAGGGAGCTTATAAGTAATTATATAAAATTAAGGACGTTAGTTAGTGAATTAAATAATAGGTAAGTACATTTTATCACTAAATATCATAATTCTCAATCACGGTTATCTCTCTGAACGCCATATAGACAAAAGCTACCGAACTGTTATCAACCAACAGATAAGAATTATACGAAAATAATACGTTACGGAATTATGGTCTTTACGAATGGAGTATCAGCTCTGAAATTGTCTCTCAAGACCATCAGCTTAGGTAGGGAAAAAATGGTGTATCAGTTCATAGCATCGATTTTTCTATATATAAACTATGTTTCTACATCAATTAACATGTAATAACGGAAAATTATTTTGATTATTTCTTTAAATTAAGCCTATTTGGAGAAAATAGTTTATGTATCACCGTTAAAATAAAATTAGTCTTTTTCTGTATTTTCTTTCTTCTAAAACTGTTTTTATGTCAAACAATTCCGACCAGTAGTTTTTTTTAACTGGAAATAATTTCATTCGGTCCAAAATTGTAATCGTGTGCATGATTATCTACTGCTAATACCTACTCAATAATTGCTTATCCACTAGCTCATCGTAACACAAGTTAGATTGTTTAAGTATGTTGGAACCTCCACAATTGACCAGAGTCTCGATGCAAGATCTTGTAGCCATGGTTTGTCACTTTTTTGGTTGCCTTCGAAAGCAGATGATTATTTGTCTCACCTGATGGTGTAGTCGAAAATGTGACGACAGACAACGATGTCAGAGGCCATATTTGAGCCGCCGCCTGATTAAATTGCTATGTTCAATCATAAAACCAAACTATCGATTTTATTATACAACCGAAACAATCCACTTGATCATCTTAGGCTTGCCCATTGCATTACGATATATGTATTTTAATTATACTAGTGGTCCCGCAGTAGTCGAAATTCGACTATAATTAATTGGAATTGTAAGTTTGTACACTATTATGATTGTATTTTATACTTCTATAATCACAAATTTCGCCAAGACTACACTATAAAAAATATTAACAAAGACAAACAATATTTAATCTATTTTCAATTTGACCACAGACGTCAAGAACAAAAGTTTGACAATAAATAGTATGCATGCGTGTGTGCGTCAAATACATGGTATGTAGTGTGTGTAATGTTTTCTTTATTGATTTAATGTATCTTTTATGCATTATTTTAAAAAAATATTAGCATTGTGCACTTCTTCTCTATATTCTCTATAAGTGTGGAAAATTTCATACTCNCATGCGTGTGTGCGTCAAATACATGGTATGTAGTGTGTGTAATGTTTTCTTTATTGATTTAATGTATCTTTTATGCATTATTTTAAAAAAATATTAGCATTGTGCACTTCTTCTCTATATTCTCTATAAGTGTGGAAAATTTCATACTCCTCCGTCCGCGCAAATTTCGTAAAAAGGGATACAAAGTTTTTGCTTCGCGTATTAATATGTTTATACTAACAAATTAATGGATTAAACACATTTTACAAACACTGGTTGTGTATTGAATGAGAATTGGCCTCTTTTAAATTTTTAGACCGACAAGTCTACGTGTAGATTTATTTATGTAAATGTAGAAAGAGAAAATCTATTATCTAATTATTATGTAGGTACCGTAACAGTATTACTCTCAAATGGATTACTCAGTCCACGCAGTCTCCATTTGAACTTAATGGAAAGTTGCTTCATATTCACATCACGAAGTCGAGGAAAGGGTTTGTAATGGTTATCATACCATGCTTTAATCATTACCTTAATTGATCTAGTTTCTAAAAGCCCCTAATGTTAAAAACGGATATCCTTCATGAAGCTAAATCTAAGATGCTGTATTATTTCTTGGTTCGATTGTCATTCTGTTGTAGAGGGATAGTCTTAGAATGTATAGCACGGACACAAGGGAATTATTGAGGGCTAAATTAAACGAAATTACAATCTTATTACTTTTTTGGAATCGTTGATACATATGTAACATTCAATTCATGTTTTGGGGACATTTAAGTTGAAATAAATTAATTGCAATGTATATTAAAAATTTGATTGAATTTATCAATCATATCAATCAGGAGTCATGATTCATGACTAGACTATGATTAATGACGTGGAGAGAATTTTACACTAAGCTGACATAGATTGATATAAAGATATGAAATATAATTTCCATAATTTTTACTTTTTTTTATTTGAAAGTATATGTAAATAACTTACAACGCTATTGCTTCTAATATAATTTCCATAATTTTTATTTTGTTTAGTTGAAAGTATGTGTAAATAAATAACTTACAACGCTATTGCTTCTCTAATTCAACAGTTTTCAGTATGGCCGTTCACAGTGGAAATCCAGAGTAATATGGTCTCATTCACTCTCATTTCACGTTTTCTCATGTTAGCTGGTATTCGAATTCAAAATATTTCGATGTAGGTAAATATGTCCCTTCTACTACATGAACTGTCTACCCCATTTTTATTCGGCCACGAAACCTTCAGAACAGTAGAGAAGATTAATAGCAACTAGTACCACTAATTTTTTTTCCTACCTTAGCTAGTAACCTTAGGGGGTTATGCCAGCCAAACCGAATTAGTAGATGAGCTCACGAGGCTCTAACCTGAGGACATGTGCTAATACTAACAAGAGCAGTGCTTCGCAGAATCTACCACTGGATCGAAAACGCGACCCACTGAAAATATCCGGCGAGAAACTCAGTGGGTTCTGTGGGTTAATTTATTCGCCAAACCCTTAGTCGCGTGTGGGTTCGATGAGAACGATGACCGGTGTTTGTAATTAGCCTAAAAACATCGTTAGTAGATCGGGAGGATCCGAAATGACGTGATTTGGGCGACGGTGACGGTTTACCATTCGGTCCGCAGAGTCGGGTATGTAGTTTCCGGCGGCCACGACAAGAGGGTTTTCATGTCGCCTTTTTCTTGAAATGGGGCACTGATGCCGACTGAAGACTTAGTGATGGAGTTTGACTCCAGATCGTGATGAAGATCCACGTTCCTCACGAACCGCGGTGCTCCGACGGCTATCCTGCAAAAACGGGATTGAATGACAGAGGGTTCCATATCAGTGCGGATTTTTTTTTTTTTTTTTTTTTTTTTTTTTTTTTTTTTTTTTTTTTTTTTTTTTTTTTTTTNTGAATGGACAACTTATATATTAATTGTAAAAGTGAATTATATAGACTTACTTAATTACCGCATCCACGTGTTCCGCAACTCCCGGATCATTCTCACTAGAATACGTAACTTCCATATTTTACTGTATTCAACTGACACAAATTTATATTTATATCCAGTAAACTCCAGTCGTGCGTCGGAGCGGACACACACACTTTTTTTTTATTTTGTTTAGTTGAAAGTATGTGTAAATAACTTACAACGCTATTGCTTCTCTAATTCAACAGTTTTCAGTATGGCCGTTCACAGTGGAAATCCAGAGTAATATGGTCTCATTCACTCTCATTTCGCGTTTTCTCATGTTATCTGGTATTCGAATTCAAAATATTTCGATCTAGGTAAATATGTCCCTTCTACTACATGAACTGTATACCCCAATTTTTATTCGGCCACGAAACCTTCAGAATAGTAGAGAAGATTAATAGCAACTAGTACCACTATTTTTTTTCCTACCTTAGCTAGTAACCTTAGAGGGTTATGCCAGCCAAACCGAATGAGTAGATGAGCTCACGAGGTTCTAACCTGAGGACATGTGCTAATACTAACAAGAGCAGTGCTTCGCAGAATCTACCACTGGATCGAAAACGCGACCCACTGAAAAGATCCGGCGAGAAACTCAGTGGGTTCTGTGGGTTAATTTATTCGCCAAACCCTTAGTCGCGTGTGGGTTCGACGAGAACGATGACCGGTGTTTGTAATTAGCCTAAAAGCATCGTTAGTAGATCGGGAGGATCCGAAATGACGTGATTTGGGCGACGGCGACGGTTTACCATTCGGTCCGCACAATCGGGTATGTAGTTTCCGGCGGCCACGACAAGAGGGTTTTCATGTCGCCTTTTTCTCGAAATGGGGCACTGATGCCGACTGAAGACTTAGTGATGGAGTTTGACTCCAGATCGTCATGAAGATCTACGTTCCCCACGAACCGCGGTGCTCCGACGGCTATTCTACAAAAACGGGATTGAATAACAGAGGGTTCCAGATCCCCGTGAGCGAACACTAAGCTTGCTTAAATTATTACCTACCGCACTTATGCAAGTTTTGTATTGTCACCTTGTTACGAACGGACAATTTACTTTGCTTGCAAATCATCGGATAGAAGAACTACTCGAATAGTACTTTTTTTTATTGCCCTTGTAGGCAAACGATCATACGGCCCACCTGATGGCGAGTGGTTACCATCGCCCATGGACTTCAGCAATACAAAGAACCGGATATAATAATACAAAGAACAGGTGCCACTCGGTTATCTACATACGTTTTCTAAAAACGAACAACTCTCATAGTTATTCCAGCTATCATGGACTGTTGCTTTTGCATGGTATGGTGATTCTTTCCGTTATAGATTAATATTTAAATCGATCCCAATTAAAGTATGACCAATCGATTTACGAAAATTTCAGATTCACCCCATAGCCAAGGTGAATCAGGTCAACCTAGTTTTTTGTATATTTTGTAATGAAATATGTATAAGTTAATGTATATAAAATTTTAAGCCTCCGGAACCATTTTAATCTCAATTTTATTGGTACCTATTACCCTAAGAAAAACCATTGATGTGTTGGATTTGGAAAGGGTCCCGATTCCCCCCAATCTAAACCTACCTCAGAACTTATTTCTTGATGAACAGATTTTGAAAATGCTTTTTTTTAAGCTAGTGCATCTCGTTCTCGTCCCGTTTAAATTTTATCAATATCTGGCCAGAACTTTTTTTTTATTGCCCATGTAGGCAGACGAGCATACGGCCCACCTGATGGTGAGTGGTTACCGTCGCCCATGGACCTCAGCAATGCCAAGGGCAGAGCCAGGCTGCTGCTACCTAGTACCTAACGCTTAGTAAATAAGTCGTCGTGACGTCCCTTGCTGCATTCATTTTGATCGAAGTAGATGATGTAGGATGCGGGCGAATGACTTCCATAAAGATATCAAAAACATCGCGTAGGTCGGTAATGAATATAGACACTCGCAAAAATCATAGGTAGGTAGGTACCACCTACCTAATTTGCGACCTAATTACCGATGATGATGTTGGGAGCTCTCACAAGGATAGGTATTACACTATCACTATGCGTATCTCTGCCGTGGAGCAGCAGTTGTATTACAAAACGGAGACTTCAAGGTTGGGTAGCGAGATTTTATGTTGATATCTATGGGCTTCGATAATTCCTACTTAACTGAACTCTTAAATTGAACAAATGAACATTTTAACAACATTGATGATTAAATCATTTAAATTAAAAAAAAAACATTTTTTCCGTTTTGGTTTACACCAGACCATAAAAGTCGATAATTTCTGGACAAAAAAGGTTTTAGTAATGAAATGCTTGTGTTGGAACTTATCGCAATATTTTATTTTTATATTAATAGAAAAGCTTATGAACTATAATTTATAATTAATTAGAACGCATATCTAGTTCGAATGTCTTCAAGTTTTTTTGATACTTCGGCGGGAGTACGTTCCAAATCACCTGCGATGGCTTTTTGTTTTCCAGGGTCTAGGGAGTTAAACTGTTCACATAGATCTCCGTCAATCACATTCTGCAACAAAACAAATATCGCGATTTTTAATTGGCATATCAGAAATTGGACTGTAAGTAAATGAATGCAGTAATAAAGTGTTGAAACAGTTTATTTTTGAGCTTATTCCTTTCCAGGGCAAGAATAAAAAATAAAAAATTGTGCTTAGATGGGTGGTCGAGCTCACAGCCCACGTAGTATTAAGTGGTTACTGGAGCCCAGACACTACAACGTGAATGCCGCCACCCACTGATTTATGAGTTTTAAGGTCTCAGTATAGTTGCAACGGCTGCCCCACCCTTCAAACCGAAACGCATTACTGCTCCACGGCAGGAATAAGGCAAGGTGGTGGTACCTACCCGTGCGGACTCACAAGAGGTCCTACCACCAGTAATGCGAAATATCTTATGCGTGGGTTTGTTTTCCTTTCTAATCTGTATATTAGATAAAGTTGAACTGTTCATTCTAAAAACTACAGATAAGCTGATAACAGCGAATCCGACTCTCAAGAATGCAGCATCCGATCGCAAGGCGGCGTCACCATAACGGCAGATCGCACGCCGTGCATAACTCGTCAGCCTTGCTATACCAACAGTGTAACACAAATGTCTTCAGAATGAAGACATCTGCTGACTGACTGTCGGAATGTAATTTAAAATTTACTAAATTTATAAAAACGTCAATATTTTCCAATAATGCAACAAGTGAGTACATACCTTTACTGGGTAGTAATAACTTCTAAAAGATAAATGGTCACGCCCACATAATGGTGAATTTTCACTTCTCATATGCATCTCTAGATGTTGAAAGAAGTCATGATCTTCTCTTGATGTAAACGGTAGTAGAACGCCAAGAGACCCACTAATTGTTGCATATAGTAGTGCTTCAGAACCACCAGGAATTANTGCAACAAGTTGAGTACATACCTTTACTGGGTAGTAATAACTTCTAAAAGATAAATGGTCACGCCCACATAATGGTGAATTTTCACTTCTCATATGCATCTCTAGATGTTGAAAGAAGTCATGATCTTCTCTTGATGTAAACGGTAGTAGAACGCCAAGAGACCCACTAATTGTTGCATATAGTAGTGCTTCAGAACCACCAGGAATTAATGTTGCTCTCTGTAGAGAGGTTACAGTTTCACCAACATGAAAATTGACCACAACATCTCCCTTTTGTGAAGCACCATTAAGTAAACCTGAAACCAATAAAGTTTATCTAAACATTACTTCTAAATTAATTTTATTTATGAATAAAGAACTTTAAAATGTACTCAGATTTTAAGTAGAATCATAAAAATTCATTAGTCTAGCATGTGAATATTTCTGTATCATCATTTGAAATTAGAATATATTTTATGGCCAGAATTTACTTCGGAATACTTCTTATTCTACCTTACTTTCATTAAATATACTATCTTGCATATTATAGGAATGATGTATTCTGGTAAGAAAACCATTGATCGAGACATCCACAACTTCAAGATAAATGGTGGATTTTCCTAGCATCAATGAGTAAATAGGTATAGTTTTTACATTAAATGTTAGCTTTGGCATTAAAAAAAGTTAAATAGTCTGCATATTAATTCACAGAACTAACCTCTGTCCCAAAGTGCTTTGTTTCCAGTAGGATCTTCATCAACATCATCACTTACAGATTGTGGTAACCGCATTATAGCCACATTACCAAATTTGTCAGATACTGCTATAGTGTCATAATCAAGAATACAGCTATTTGTTATCCATCTAGGATTGGTATCATCAGCAAAAATAATTAATTGATTCTCTCTTTTCTTATGCTTGACACAAAATACAGATTCTTGGACATCAGAAACAAAAATTCTCTGTCCAATCGTTTTTATATCTGCTATTAAATTTGGAATATGTCTATTTTCACATTTACGTAGGAGTTTTCGTCGTCCAATATCATATAATCTTAACATGCGTCCGACACCAGCTAGTAGTCTACCATTAAATGCTGCTATAGCACCAGGATATTCATCTACTGGAGTTTTGTGAACAAGTTCTAATTTTCCAGTGTTGCCATATATCTGAAAAACAGAATTCAAAGGTTTACATTTTGTAATATATGATAGCTAGCTTTTGACTTTTTCTATAACCTCAGATCTGGTTAAGTGTTCGTCAAAAATCTTCAGATGAAACACGGAGCGATATAATTTTACATCATTGGAAAATCTTTTGTATTGTGTAAATTTCATTATTCGTTTTTAAGTTACCTTATAAACATGTAGACTGCCTTCAGTGCAAGAACGAGGAGACAGTATCAAATCCTTTGCAACACCAACCACAAGATGTGGTTGTGCATGTTCAGCATGTGCAGCCCATCTTACTATGCACAAAGAAACAGCTGCTTCGTTTTGCTCCAGTGGAAGTCTAAATAATGTATTGGGTTGACCCCCACCAATACCCATGTCAACAACACGAATTAGAGATGCCCACATGCCTGAAATAATGTTTTTTTTTACTATTTTGTGGTTAACCTTTTAATCATTTTAACAATGATCAATTATTATTTTCTTAATGTTTCCCATACTTGAATCAAATGATTAATGTTAGATCATTTGGGATTAATGTAGGGAATTTTATGTAGCCACATCCGATTAGAGACAGACTACTTTTATGTAGACTACTCTTGCCCAGAGAATGTGGCTATATATGAAAGCATGCATGGTTCTTTGTATGAAAAACTTGCAAGGGCCAAATTTTTAATGCATAATTTAGCAAGATAATTATTTTCTGGTTTGTTTATTGTGTAGTGAAAATTTAACCATAATATATCAGAGAAACAAAAGAAAGTTACCTGCTCCAGCTTTAGGTGAAGAAAAAATGTATTCAGGCAAAGTATCAGATAGAAAAGCATCTGCCATTTCATTTGCTAGTTGCTGTTCTTCAGGAGCACCTCCAGCAGCAGCTTCACGCATTTCTTGGGCCATTTGAATTCTACAATATATTAAATGTATTATAATATATAACCAAATAAAGTCTTATTTATTTTTTATAATTAATTAACTCAGTACTGCAGGAGATTTCCACATTAAATTCAGGTTTGTGTGTCTTTGTTTCATCATTTAAATTGTCAAGTGTAAATTAAAATTAAAATCTGTCAAGAAAAAAATACCTTCTGTGTTTTTTCATTTCCTCTGTGTAGGCATTGTGATCAGTTTCTAAAACTATAATGTGATTGTTGTCAGAATTTATTATAAACTTTCTTGGTGTGTATTCTAAAGGGACAAATGTTTGATTGAATACAGCTCCCAATTTTTCTAAAGCCAAAATTCTCAGAGTGTTTGAAGATATGGCTACAATGCCTTCAGTACATTGTTCTGAAACACAAATGCAGTTTGTTTTTAATTTAAATTTTATTTATTAAAATATAATATTTACTTATTTAATATTTATATGTCCACGGCATGGTTTTGCCGCCTTCACAGTCGAAGTGACTCCAGCTTGGCTATGGAATATGCCGAGTGCCACCCTCTACCACAAGGGGAAGGCGACATGCTCTACGACGTTGTGGGCTCATCACTGTATGAGACAGCTACACACCACTCTTGCTTGGCTTCACCTGCAAAGGTAAGGCCAGGCAAACACGTCGATATTTTAAACAGTAATTTTTATTTCTTACCTGAACTAAATCCTGCTGCATATTCCAAACATTCATAAGATAGAGGTGTAAGGTGAAAACGATTTTGATAGTGATATCCTAGCCATGTTCTAGACGACACAGCTAGTACTGCTTCAGCAGCTTGTACCCTTACTTTAAATAACTTCACAGGTCTTGACCCCAAGTATCTGCAAAAAAAAAAAAAACCAACTTAAAATATGATCATTTTCAAAATTATGTTTTCATAGTAGTAAGGGCTCTCAGATCTGGTTAATTACTCATCAAAATTTTCAGATGAAACACGGAGCGATTACAATTGTTAACATCATTGGCTTTTACAATAAAAGAAGTTAGTAACAGTGATTTGATTAATTAATTACCTAGTTCTAGTGTCTGCAAGATCGCCGCTTACAGAATCTAAGGTAGTTCTTAACAGCACCCCGTTGCTTAAGCCAATGTTTAAATGCAGGGCAGATTTTGCACCAGATTCAAATGGTTGCTCAATAATGCACAATGACTCTGCACCAGCAGGAAGAGCTTGCATAGAACGTGGTGAAAGACAGTCCTGAAAGAAAAAAAAACCTATATTTTTTGAATTTTTTATGCTTAAGAGTTAACTATAATTTTTTTAACATTCAGTAATTTGAGAATAACGCTTTTTTGGGATGTTGTAATCACAAAAATCAGTGGTGTCCTGGTGTCATCATTCCAATTATTGCTATTGTATGTGGTTATTATGGTCACCAGAAATACTTACTGCTGGGTCCAAAGAGATAATTCTGACAGTGTTATCATTGAGACCAACTGCTAAAAACCATGCTCTCTGTTCCCCTGCTGCAACTGAACCTAATGCCATACAACAAACATCTGAAGATAATTTCTTTCTTTCTGTGTATTCATTGAGCTGTCCAGTCTGAAAAACAAATTTTACTTATTTGAAATATGTGTTTTACTAACAAACATTTAAGATTAGTATTTTTAAGAATGTCCACAGCATGGTTTTGCCGCGTTCATAGTCAAAATGACTCCAGCTTGGCTATGGAATATGCCGAGCGCCACCCTCTACCACAAGGGGAAGGTAACATGTTTTACGACGTTGTGTGCTCATCACTGTATGAAAGACAGCTACGCATCACTCTCACGCGGCTTCACCCGAAGGCAACGCCACGCAAATACGTCGAAAAAGGGTTTTTCGATGTTTTGTATTTACTTACAGGGTCCATTTCGAAATATACCAACTCCCCTCCAGTTAGGGCAATGACGACTTGTCTTTGATTGACTGCACATCTGACTATAGATTTTTTTCCAGGAGCCTTCCATTCATTTACACGTTTGTCAGCACGAATATGTCTTATACCATCAGGATATACTTGTACTAGAGCGTCATTACCCATTGCATGACAACTAAGTGTAGGTGTAGTTCCCAAAAATCCTGAGTCAGTGACTTCTTCAACAGTCTCACCGATGGAAAGAACAAGTGTGGCATTAACGAATGACACAATGATGTAAGAATCGTATTCCTCTGTAACCAAAGAAAATTGAAAGCTATTATTATGTTCAATAAGTAACTA